CCTTAAACCACACAGTTTTACTTGTGCAATATTTGGGAAATGTACACTCTCTTACAGCATTTCAGTTGGATTTAGATCTGATGATAGTACTGCCTAGAAATCAAGGCTTGATCAGAAGATCCACTCAAGCCACATGACATTTCCTCCACTGTCTGCAATCTCGGAGGTATATATTTAACCCCACACTCTCCTTTTATTCATTTGCATTGTTGTTCATTTCCACCCTTCATTCAACATTCATGGTGTTTTAAACTCTTATCCATACCTTCATGACTCTCATCCCACTCTGAAGCCAGATTTCTCACCCAAACCACAATTAGCTCACATAAGCAACTTCTTCTACACTGGCTTTCCATTTCAGTGTGCATATAGCCCAAAATACTCAGTACAACTAACAAAGCACACCTTTTTTAATCATTACCACAAAATCAGTCTTCACAATACTATTATGTTTTATTAGGTGCTCTGAGCACCCTGACCAATCACAAATGTTCTTTGGATACTGGAAAGAATAAAGCCATTAAAATCTGACAAACATTAATAATTATGGTCAAAAATAAATGCAGGCAAGTCATGCTTGCTGATATATTTTATATATCATCAATGTCCAAAGAAAAACCAGCATCTCCAAAACGTTAACTAAATGTTCTTTACTTTCAATTTAAGTTGACATAAAGAGATTTTATTTGAAGCCGTTTTGATGCACTTAAATCAGTCCAATCGTCATGACATTTCCATACATTGTAAAGACTGTTGAGCTCAAATTATGCAATGTATAAAACGTTGTGTTTTACTAGCACAAACAACCTGGGAAATATGTAGAACATGATAAAAGTAATTGTTTTAGTAATGCTACTAGTGCTGTTAGTGCTGATGCCATTACTTAATGCCTGGTAATGCTGACAAATCTAAACAAACTCTGATAGGCACCATCAATACTCGGAGCTTGCTTTGTGTGGATGGACGGGAAAGGGAGGCAGATCCAAAGGGTAAAATCATCACTAGAAATCATTCTAGCGTTGTAGTTCACCTATTTAACCAGAGGAGGCTGACTATCTTTAATCTTAACTAATGCACCTTTAATTCCCCTCTAAATGTATGCTTTCAATTTTTCTGGGTAGTATTGCTATGACCTTTTTGCAGTATCATTCAGCCATCGTCTTATTCTTCATCCAAACACTCCCAGGCCCTGACGCTCGTCTACCCACCATGTGTCTTACACCAATTTCCTCCTGGGTGGCATGTTGTTTAGCACAGTAGCTTAAAAACTCACTGAAATGTACTTCTCCACCACATCTATCATTAGTCCTTCTATTTGAAAGCTCGTCAACATACCTTTTCACACAAACATAACTCATACCCTTATCTGGAGTCTCTCTCTCACCCGTTAAGCCTTCCTTGTCTTCTTATCTTAACAAGTATGCATCTTCTACCCTTTTATCTAGTGCAAACATCTGTATTTTGTCTATGCTGTTTGTATCTACTGTCTTAGTCTTTCCGTGTAAAGCGTCCTAAGGTGTGAGAAAGACACTAGAAATACAGTGTTTATTCTTAAAGCAGAGGTAAAGCAAGAAGCTGGAAGGGGGATTTAAAGCTGGAGTTTTTGGACAGGAGAAATCAGTGTCCTGTAGCTCTCTACTAGATACTATTTTGTGATGTACACTTGACTAGCAGTACAGAAAATAGTAAGGTACACTTACTATGCCCTGGTGCTAAACATTAGTGGACGTTTAGCCCAGTCATGCTGATTTTCAGTAATGTTGCATGACCAGTCTTGTCAAAAGCCCACTCAACTCAATTACACCCACTCCAAAAAAAAGAAAACCTACAGATAGGGGTGGGCAATAGGGCAAAAATTTTAATAATATGTTATCTTTCTCAAGGGAGTACCATGATATTATATTGCATGGTGAACATATAGTTGTACACAAAAGTTTGGGCATCCCCTGCAATATATCACTTTTAACTCAACATTTACTCAAAAGGTACTGTAATACAGTAGCATTCAAAAGTCAAGGCATCAGTACTTTTATCGATGTCAGAAAATTTTGAACAATATCCAGATATATTGTGATATTGTCATATCACCCACCCACTCATGTAAAGGCATTAATAACAGATCGTACCTTCTTTGAGCAAGGAACAAAAACCGAAGATATTCCAGTCTGTGCCTACTCTCCCTGCTGCATAGAAGGGGGGCTGCAGTTAATCACTGGGTGAAAATTAAAAATTAATACCACCCATATGGCAATATTAAAGATGTTAAAGGTCCAAATGACTTGTCACAATAATGAAAATGAATCTAAACTTGCACTTTACACACCCAAAAAAAAAAAAGTCATCTGAATATTGCCTTGAAGAGCATTCGCTTCAGCCTTTTGCAGGTGGCACAGTTCTCATGGCTCATGTTTCAAAGGGTGCGAGAAAGAGGGATTCAGATGTAAATGTGCTGCTTCTCCTCACAAAAGGAAAATGAATCTACCAATAACAAGTTTGCACAATGAAGCGAGAGGCACAGAATGAGTACAGTCTGTTCACACGCAGATCCACAGGGCAAATGTAGGGGAAATATTCTGAGGCCTAGTGTAAAGGAATGCAGTTTTGTAGGCTATTCCTCAGTCAGTGTTAAGCATGAGGAACAGGGCAGATACAACTGATACAAGCAACAGAACATTCATGTATTCAACTGAATACAGAATCTATGTATTCTGAATAAAAGTACATATCAACCTGAAAGTGTGTGATAAATAATACACTGCTGATCATATTCAATCTTTTTACAAATGTGTACATCATGAAGCTACACTAGATTTTTTTTCTCCCTCCTTGATGTTTTGTTATTTTTTACTACTGCAACTGATTTCAGCCAATCATAAAACTGTACATAAAGTTAGCAAGTATAACTGTACTTATCATTACAGCAGGGTCCCGAAGATGCACCACCCTGCAGAGTTTTGCTCAAAGCCTAATTTAACACAACTGATCCACATAATGAAGGCCTTCATGAGCATCTGTATATTAGAGCCAGGTGTGTTGGATCTTAACTCTCCAGGGTGGTAGATCTCCAGGATCTGTGTTACATTACACTTTACATTTCATGATTATCAGCAGTAAAAAAACACCGATCCGAACGCATGTTTAATTACAAAGAGAGCATATTTAGTCCTGTTTATCTGGATCATCTCAGTACATAAAATATAGAATGTGACAAAAAAAAGTCTAGAAGCATTGTGATATATTTTTCCATGTAGCCCAGCTCTAACTGTACATATGTTTACTACTAATAACACTAAGATAGTACAAAACAGTAGCTATTACACCTTTAAACGCATAGACTAATAGTGAAAGTAATAAAACACCAAAAGAAACAGGTGTGACACTAGCCTGTAGATATCAACAAAATGAGTGTGGGAAAGGAAGCCAGTTGCTATCCTAGCTCACTCTTACGACAGCTAAGTGGAACAGAGGGAAGAGGCCTTGTCAGTTTGGATTTATGGGGTGTAGCTGTAACAAAGGAAACCACGTGATGCACAGTGGCTGAACCCACATTTCCACCACCCCCCTCCCTTTACACTCATTATTTTAGCATTATAGTCTATCAAGAGGGGAATATTTAGGTCTGCTGCCTTCACAATAACTACATTTTACCCTCTAGGGCCAGAAATAAGCATGGTTTCAGAGCTAAACAGTAACTTCTGCTTCCCTGTTCACCCAAGTGTTAAAGAGACTACAAGGTATGTCACAGTGTAAGCAATGATATTTACTCAAACAAGAGGGCGTGAACTCTACAGGACACTGGTCAATATGGGTGTGAACATAAAACACTTGTCAAACGGAGACAAAAAGTTCAAAAGGGCCATATAAGGGCTTATGCCTATGGCACCTACAATAAGTACACAAGTATTGGGAAACATTCATTTATTAAAATTTACTTCAAATAAATGTATTGCAGTATAAAACTCACGTGCAAAACATTTTCTTTCAATCTTCAGATTAATATTTTTATATTAAGTCAGTCTCAGAGTCATTCAAATAAAGGAGATCATGACTAAAGTGCTGTAAAGAACTTACATAGTTACAAATATACAGGAGAGAAAACTAGACTGTGACACAGGAAAATAAGAAAGCAGCTGATTCTTTTCCCAGAAAAGTTTTCTGGGAAAAGCATTTACAAGTACAAAACCATTCCTACCCAAGAAGGATGCACGATAATATCAGCATCATATCAGTATTGGCAGTTATTGCTTACTGGCAATCACTGGCATCTGACCGATGTTCAAAATTTATTGAAATTTTTATTGTTTTATTATTATATTGAACTACTTTGCTAAAATGTCTGCATTTTATTCATTTATGCATTTGCAGTCATGTATAAATATTATATTTGTTCAAAATGCTAATACAGGTGGATTTTGTCCCCATTTTGTCTTATAAATGTTTATGTATCAGCCTCAGCAGATATGTACATGAAAAATACAAGAGAGCAGCACTGGCCCAGTTCTCCCAAATCAGTACATCCCTACTATCAATTCCTTACTACTAGATATGAAACTATATAAGTAGTAATGTGTTATAACTTTCAAAGATAACAATACAGTGAATTAAAGATTCCTGTTGTTTAGCTGACCTGCAGTGTTCTATATTTACCTTAACCCAGAAAGGAAAGTTCTCAAATAATTTTGTTCTCATGACTAACACACACCTTACTACTCCCTTTTCCCCCACATTCATCCAGTAGGTTTCAGATAGGTCTGCACTTCTTACGTATGACATATATACGCACACATTTTCCACAAAATATCTAGTAATAAGATCAAGAAATGCAGTTTGCGCTATTTAGAACTACAAACTGTGTCTTTAGTGTCTGCTTTCATATGATAGGAACCTCCTTTAGAAAACCATGGGCTTTAATATGTGGTAAAATATCAGTCCGTGGAACTGATAAAACTCAGTCAACTGATAAATGTTCATACCTTCATAACACCTCTTCGCATAAAAGAAAGTGTTAGAAATAACACGTCTGTTCACTTCTTTTTCTGCAGTTTTAACATCTTCCTCCGTTTGAGAATCATGTCGTAGAGTCTTTCAAGTCCCTCTTTTAGACCATCACCTATTATGGCACAGGTTGGCTGCAAATGCCATGGCGTGGCGGCTCCTAGTTCACTGAGCGCCAGCATCTTCTCGACTTCCGTCACGGTTAGAGAGTGCCTAAGGTCCTGCTTGTTCGCGACAATAAGCACAGGAACGCCTTGAGTCTCTGAAGAGCGGGTAATCTTGTGCAGTTCAGTTTTGGCCTCCTCCATCCTCTCAGTGTCCACCGAATCCACTACAAACACAATGCCGTCCGTGCAGCGAGTGTATGACTTCCATAGTGGACGGAGCTTCTCCTGACCACCAACATCCCAGAAGTGAAATGCCACTGTAGAGCCCCCAAGCGCTAGTTTTACCTTCTCTGCATTAAATCCTTTAGTGGGGACAGTGTTCACAAATTCATTGAACTGCAGTCTGTACAGCACAGTGGTTTTCCCTGCAGAGTCCAATCCCAAAATAGCAATGTGGAGAGACTTGAAGAAGGGAAGATTTGAAAATATGCTGGACTGATCTGATATTCCGTTCCCCATTTTCCTCTGGTGTTGGTATCAGATCAACCAAAATAGATCCATAACTTTACCCAGACTCTGGCTTATCCTCCCAGAGGTTCTTAGGAAAAAGAAATAATTTAAGAGGTAACTTCTACCAACTATTAGGCATGTTAGTGGGCTGGATAACAGATCAGATAACACTATCAGACTATCAGACCAACAGAGAGCATATTAATAGCGACAACATTTTTTGCTACACTCTTAAAAAAAAAGATGGTTCTTCATGGGTTCTTTAGTAAAGGCAATGTTCTATTTGGAACAATGAGTTCTACGTAGAACCATTTCATGCTTAAATGATTCTTTGCATGGTGAAACGGTTCTTCAGATTAATGGAGAATGTGCTGCATATGGTTCTATACACAACATATATCAATCATCACCATCAATCTGAAGAACCATTTAACGTTAAGCATGAAATGGTTCTGTGTAGTACTCATCAATCATTCCCTTTAGTAAAGAGGTGTGCAGTTTTACAATACCAAGCCAGGTTAATTCACAATTTACCAGATTCAAGATCAGACTTCACACCTGTTGTTGATACAATAAGCCTGACCGCCAGATTAACTCAGCGTGGGCAACAACATGTATGACGCAATGCTAGCTCTGCACTGATGTAACATCTCAGTGTTTTGTATTTTAGATTAAAGGGTCTAAAGTTAGCTAGTCAACGACCTGAGCACTTCAATCGCAATGAAATAACGTTAACGCTAGCCATGATGTCGCACAGCTAGCAATGTGATAAGACACAAGCCAGACGTATCAACAAACGTATTATAACTATTTCAGTTATAATGACCTTTTTTATTTAGGAATCTGCTGCCAGATGTTTAACAAAGGAAAAACGAGATTCTGCACTGTTCTTCCACTTACCACTGAGACTTTACAGCCGGTTAAAACTTTTCAGGTGACTCCAGCAGCAGCACTTCTCCCCCACACCACAGCGCCGCTCCTCTCACACTGAAACCGCGACTGTTGGCACGTAGCTGCTCATTTGTTTACCTTTGAAATGATTGGTGGACATGCTGTGACGTAAGCTGCCACTCACGAGGCGTGACGAGTCGAGAAACTACTTTATTTGATAACATACAATGGAAAAAAAGTGTAATATAAATAATTATTGTTTTAATTTTAAGGTAAAAAAGTGTCATTTAAGGTATTACATAGAATTTATCCAGTGAGATATGTTTTGGAAAAATTCATTTAGATATGGACGATACTTTTTTGTTTGTTTGTTTGTTTGTTTTGTTTTTTTGTTTGTTTGGGTGTAGATTAGAAAAGTAAACGATTTTCCATTTGTTTTATGGTGGTAATAATAATAAAAAAACATATTTTTAAAGAGTTGTGAATTTGCTTCATTTGTTTTGGCACGGTGCTGATGAAAAGCTGTTTTGGAAAGGCTTGGATTTGTAATTGATGGTTCGTAGTGATGTTTATACTCATTGTGCTGTAAATTACCTCATACCACCTACTGCAACACCTGCGCTCATGTAAATACAACAAATCTGTCTTATATGCTATGTAAAATAAAATATATTCAAATAAAAAATAAAATAAAAACAATACATAAATGCATTGTAATATTGTCGTTTTATATAGCCTGTAAATACTGGCTACTTCCAAGTGACCCAATGAAAAGAATCACATACATAGTGCATTTTCTCCAATACTATCAGTGATGTTTAATTGAGAAAAATGAATAGTTTCAAATCCACGGCCATTATGAATTGAATCCCTTTTGCCCACTCCAGTTCCTACCATGCAGCAGGATAATGTCTGTGCCATAAGAGAAAGGTTATGTAATGGAAAGATTTTTTTCAAGTCCTGCAGGACCAGGTGAAAGATAGTTTAAACAATAAGTCACCTGCACCTGCCAGAACTGGTTTTGTCTGAATTGACTTGTGAATTTTTCCACAGTCAGAAAATATACTATTCTTTCATCCAAGATTTGGTGAGCTTCTCCTCCACACGGTCCATGAAAGCACTGTGCACTCCTCTTCTGCGCCGATGCCTCTGGAAAAAGTGGAGAAATGTGTATTTTTAGCCTGAAGATCATTCCTAAAATCACTCAGTCACTCCAAACTGAGGTTACTCTTATAGAAAGCTGCTGGGAATATTAGGCTGGTTGTTTAGAAGTAACTCCTCTGTGAAAGTGAAATATATTGTTGTGTGTTGTCAGTACTCCAAAACCTAAATAACATTGTAATGTGTTTTAAATACATTAGATGTCTTTTATGGGCAGAGCTATGCATTATTCAAATGCCATGTAGTCTTTTTAAAGTCCCTAAACACAGCCAGTCAAGCTGTGGTTGATTTCAGAGCCTGGTAATATATGTACATTCAACCACACCATACTCCACTCACTGTGTATGAAGCCGACTTGGGTGGCCAAGGAGGCTTTGGCAGTATGAGTCTTGGATCCCACTTAAGTTCTGCTGGTTTGAAGGTGTCCATGCTCCTTGTTGGCTCTCTTTGGGGATGGTCTGATTCAGCTCGGACTTCTGCAACTGTTTGAAATGTATAAATCTGTTATATTATCTCTTATCTTATATGCAACTTTTCCTCTGGTACAAAAGACATGAGTAGCTTTCCTGATACATCAGTGGCCTTCAATACATTTTGCTCAAAGGAATGCTTCACTGAAAAATCACAGGTTCTCAGTTTTCTTCTTTCTCCAAATGTAGATGATCGGCTAAGACATATCTGGGGTCTGAAGTTTGCATTTTTGGTTTTGCAATGGAAATATAAGGATAATGTAGCTAAAAGTAATGAAAGTATATATGCAAGCCATTCTGTTAACAGCTTTAAGCTGTGTTAAAAAATACTAAGCTTACTTGCACCCAAGGACTGAGTCTTAAACTTCAAGTTTCCAGGATCCTTTTCTATACAGGTCACCATATCAGGCAATTCTTCAGCACACTGCAGTTAAACACAAGTACAGGTAAAATCCTCTTAAAGGCCGCCATCTAGTGTTAATGTGGTACAATGGAGTGAAAAAAAGGAACAAAGCTCAGGGTAAACTTACAGGTCTGAAATTGTGAGGCTTTGGGTTTTTGTAAGGAATGCTGGGAAACTGTCCTGACTTCACAAACAGTATCCTCAATTCTAGCAAGCCAGGAGATCTGTATGATGTTATAAATGGTGGTTCTTTCCTGTTCTCTGGCAGTTTTGGTAGCATGAGTAGAGACATTTTACCAACCATCGAGAGACATTTCTGCTAAGCCATCTTTGAGTTTGGCTGGGTTGAGGGTTTTTTTCTTGGTCCGTGGTAAGTTTAGACACCGGTACAGTTTTGGGCTAAAGTCGGGTGGCTTTATTTTCCACAAGTCAGTCTGACTGACAGCTGTATTTGGAAGGATGAGCTTACGGCCACGGGTTGAGGTCAATTTTTGACTGGCGGAGAACAGGAGCTTTCTGTTGAAGTGAATGGATGTTTCTTGATCCGGTATATCCTCAGAGCTCATTGTTGCGTGCATGCTCTCCTGGATTCAATCAGCAGATAAAGGCAAACTTTGATATACATCTCATTTGTCAACAGGTTCAGTGTTTCTAAAGCACTTAATGCATACCAGATCTGTACATTTTTTATCCATTTAAATGTTAAATGGATGAAAATAATGGGATATAAATGTTCAGTGAAACCACTTTGACAACAACATTACACTCATGGATTCAAGCTAAAAATGAAATGCAACATAATTCATAGTTTTATGATTAAGGGCTGAAGATGTTAAAGCTAACACATCATGATATTCAATTATCAAGTGAACTTAAATATGATATTTATACAGCATACTACTCAGTCGTAGTGTAAAAAAACAGAGATGTGTGTAAAGAGTATGTGTTGACAGAACAAAATCAAAACTCTAGCAGTAAAAAGTAGTTGAATATTGGTTTGGGATTTTTTACCATTGAAAAAAGACACACATCAAATAAGGTTATATTTTAAAATAAAGCTAACTTACCCTCCCACTTCGGGCATCAATCATGTCTGAGGGCAGTAGGGAGTTGAGGTAGTTGTGTCTGTGGGTCTAAGCACAGCACAGCATGGGGCGTGGAGTCCAATACAAAGGTTGCTAGGAAGCCTTGGAGTTTGGAGCCTTTACTCAGAGAATAGGGTTATGAAAAAGCACTGTGGGGAGACTGTCAAGAAAATAAAGGAATGTCCTAGTAACTGCCCGACCATGCACAACGACAAGTTTAACAGCAAGTGCTTGAAACTGTCATGTAGCTATTTTTTTGGTGTAACAAACACACATAATTTAGGCTAATTTCACATTAAAACCAATAGAGGGCAGCAGAAGACACATTTCTATCATCTTCTTCTTTAGCTCTATGCTTAATATTTAATAAAATGTTGGTGAGTTTAGCTTGTTCCACTGGCAGTTCTGAGGTGGTTGTGGTTAGAATAGATTAATAGATTTAGATGGACTTTGTGACACTGTACATGTGAACATGGGCTATGCACATACCATCTTGTAGTGAGTGATGGGAAAAAAATGACGGTAACTTATCTTCAGGCTGTGGAATAATGTATAATCAGATGATTATCAGATTTTCAAGTGACTTTGTTACTGTAAATTGGACCTAAGGTGGAATTTGAGGAAACCGGTGCATTATATAGTCAAATAATTGCATTATATAGATGTACCAAGTTTAAATGAATGTACAGAATATATAGACCAACAGAGTACACAGAGTGCAGTATGCAATGCCAAATGAGGATGGAAGACCGGAATTGAGTCTAAAGTCTCTTCACAGGCTGTTCACTCAATAGGTCAGGGGTCACACCTGGGTTTTATTGGGTTAACGCTTAAGGGGGAGGAGAAGCCTGGAACAAACACTCATCTGCTGGTCACGGCAGACACACAGTTTTTGTGGTGCTAAGTTTATTTAGGAAGACCTGAAGTGCCGAATCAGTGTAGGGAAAAAAGGCAACTAGCCTCTGGGTCCTTTCAAGGATGAGTTACACTCAACTCCCATGACCTTCTTAAGCCTTTTGCCTTTAGAAGAGCTTGAAGAGCCATGCTTCAATTGACTTTCACAGACTTAGACAAGAAGAAAACGTACTTATGAACATTTTTGTGGGAGTTTGAAAACAAATTTACTGCACAAAGGTCACCATTTGACCCATGAAGGAAGAGAGGAAGAAATACACTTTACACTTTAATGCAATCCTTGGATTGACATACTGCATTTTGAGGCTGAGGAAACAGCTCAAGAATTTACCAACAGCCTTGGCCTTGGAAAGATAAAGGTGAAAGAAGGCAGTTCCACCATGCTGCTCATGAGGCTTCCTGTAACTGTGTAGGCATCATGACTGTGTTGCACTGTGTAATATGTATGTACATTTAGGTTGCCTTGATAACCAACAGCCATTTGGGCCCTATAGTCCTATGTCATGCCACTTTGGTGTATACAGTATATAGTGTATACAGTTCAAAGGCACCACCATAGCTCTGCCTGTTGTTGTAGCAGGGTTTAGGCTGACTTTGCCTTCTACTGAACAAAAGTTTCTTGGCAACAAGGTCACAACAGGACAGGCAGGGCATTGTCTGCCCCTGTGCACACACACCACTGAAAAGCAAAGTAATAACTAAAAGTAGTCATTGAACATTCTATGTTGTGGATAATTCCTGCATTTTCCTCTTATTGTTTATTGTGTGTGGAAACCAGCTTGCCAAATAACTTGTATCAGTCACACACTCTTAAAGGTCCCATGTCATGGTAGACTGAATGACCCTTTTACTTTTACTTTTTGAAAGTAAAAGAATTTTATGTATTATATAAACATGTTTGAAGTTTCCAAACATATCTTTCACTCCTTGGTCCATCGAGTCTCTGCACAAACAGTTCTTGCAATATATGAATTTACATATACATCTATTTAGCATACCACAGTTTAGCCCCCCCCATTCAAGCTGAAGTTATAAGGAGTGTTTCAGCCTGGACTGCTTTTTCAATGAAGCATGATACAAAGCAGCTAATCAGAATAGAGCTCATTTACATGTAACACTCATAAAGGCACAGTAATAAAAGCAACCTGATTAATTCTAAAAGGATGGAAATAGATTGGAAAATGATTGTGTGGAAATGAATTATGAATACTTTAAAAATAAAGATTTCTAAATGGTTATTGAATGGTCTGTATGGTTCTAGGAAAGTATTTGATAAAGATGTTGGTAAAGAACATTTACATTATGTGGAGGTTCTTTAAACTTTTAAAAAGTGTCTTCACACACATAGGCAAGTCAATTGCCTGATAATGCTTATTTGAGCTGATCACAATAATTTCCCCATTAGTTCGTTTTCACAATCATGAGTTCATGTCACAACAAACTGATTGTGAACTGGGTGCACTGTCATCAGTTGGGTTGAGGCAAATACATGTACATAAAAGAAAACCCATTTATTGAGATACATCATAGGTCTAACGAAAACAACAAAAGTTCTAACTTCTGACAGGTGATACAACACATTTAAAAGGCATCAGTGAGTTATGTTTGTTCGAGCTCAAGCTGTATCTTCAGTTGGTTTTGTTTAAAAAAAAGATGTTTGGAAGAAATCATGCTAGCTGTTAATATCAATCGTGGAATAATGAGGTCAGCCAGTAGATTCCTGACTAATGTTATGTTGGATTTTGGCAAAATAGACATTATTCTTGGATTATACCTTGGATTAACTTTCCTTGTCTGTGTGGATATACTATATTTTATGTGTGGCTTACTTTCTGATTACTAGAATAAAACATTGGGCCTTGTTCATCATCCAATCTTAAAAGGAAACCTCTTCTTAAAACCCACTTACGCAGTTTTCACTAAAATTCTTTTTTTAGTTTTTAGGTAAGAACAGAATCGACATACATTCAAGGGCACAAAGAAACAAACAATTCTGTGGTTTAAGAACACGTTGATGTGTCTGATGTAGACTGATGATTTAAGAAAAAACTTAGTAAGATATTAATGAATGAGGCCCATTGTCTTTGTAAAGAATAGTATCTCTTTACACTGAATGCAACCTTGCTTTGAAAGCCTAAAAGAGCCAAAACACATATGTGGGTATGTGCTGTACAGACACACAGTGCACCTGTCTGTATTTTGTATATCTGTGTTATCATAGACTTTGCAGTGTAACAACTGTGTCTATGAACATCTAATTGTTACAAATCAGTGCATTTCCATTCTGCTTATAAGTTTGATAGTGTGAATAGTGTGAGACAGTCATTTAATTAATTTCATACAGTGTATAAACACCCCTCGGTCTCAGAACAGATGGCTGCACGAGATCTCAGTATTCATCCTGTGAATGTTATTCACATCTTAGAGAGGGCCTGGGACAGCCCTGATAAAAACAGTTTAACAGATGCCTTCTGGTGATCTGACTCCTCACATAGTCTCATAGGCATCACACAACAGATTGTGTTCAGCTTTCCTTGAGAGAAAGTCTTTGGCTGCTGTGCAGTGTTGATGCATACAGTCAAACAATGAGTGATCAATAGTGTATAAAGCTGCAACAAAAGGTCACTTTGCTTCATTTGACAGAGCTGTTTTTTCTCTTTTATGGTCAAATCTCTGAGGTTTTGACAGTTTGCTTCCAACAAGGAAGAGACTCTCCAAATACAAAGCATTGTTTACTACTGATTTATAGAAGCCATTTGTGTCACTGTATCTTCCTGTAATCCACCATATCTGCTAGAGTACTAAAGCTGCTGAGACAAACTGAAGAGACTGTCATGTTTTGCCAAAGTCATACTCATATTTCCCTAAAAAGACACTGTGTGACATCTGGTTCTCTCTTTAAAATGTTACATGAAAATGGCATTGGATCAGGCTGAATATTAAAAAGAAAATTTGTGTCGGATTCATTTTACCAGATTACTATCCGCTGACTGTTTTATCAATACAGGCCTTTTATTTATGCCACTGTCTGTTATTCACATATTAACAGACACTTCCTGGCTGTCTCTGACATTGTGAAATCTTAAAAAAGATGGTTCTTCAAAGGTTCTTTGGATGAAAGTATTGTTTGGAGGAAACCATGCTAGCTGTTAATATCAGTTATGGAATAATGAGGTCAGCCAGTGGATTCCTGACTAATGTTATGTTGGATTTTGGTCAGACATTGTTCCCTTGGGGTAACTTGTACCTTGTATCTATGTGGAGCTAAATACTATATTTTATGTGCAGTTTACTTACTGATGACTAGAACAAAACACTGGGCCTTTAGTAGAGGGAATGGTTCCTTTCAGAACTATGAGTTCTATATAGAACCATTTCATGCTTAAATAGTTCTTTGCATGGTGAAATGGTTCTTCTTGTGTATAATTCTATATAGAACCTTTTCGAAAATGGTTCTACACAGGACCAAAATGTGTTCTTCTGTTGTTACAAGCTTGGCAGCAGAGCCCTTTTTGGTGTTATGTAAAACCATTTTGAAAAAGGTTCTATATAGAACCATATACCACACACTTTCCATCAATCTGAAGAACCAGTTACCATGCAAAGAACATACTAAGCATGCAAATGGTTGTATGTAGGACTCAGTTCTAAATAGAACAATTGCCTTCACTAAGGAACCCCTGAAGAACCATCTTTTTTAAGTGCGTGGGAGTTTAACTCTATAGCGGATAATTGAGCGCTTGTGATTCGAGCTCCAGTTGTGAATGGCTGCGTCTCGAATCAGGGAACACTGTGCAGAGCTGTGTCGATTCACAGCCGTTTTTACCTAGATTTGGATGTTTATGATACTTGTCTTCGTCACTGTCCTCATTATTTCACTCAAATCAGCCAGTAAACTGGGTGGCAGCTCTTGGACTAAGATCTCTGAACGCCGCTTCTGGTCAGGCGTTGAAAATCAGAGGACGTCGTGGTAGACTTCGCTAGTAACAGCAATGGATCTGAAAATGTGGCTGGATTACTTTTGCCTGGCTCTGATTCTTTACAACGCCGACTGCTCTCAAGCAGGTAAGTTTGATCGCTGAGCTGCATTACTATACATTACGACTTGATACCGAGCAGCTTAACATTCTGAAGACTGTTTTGAGCGCAGGCTACAACATGAAATACTGTCAGCTGGACTTTACATGAGGATTTCTCACATAAAACGTGAACCTGCCTCGCCTGTAATTAACTTCTGTCAATTATTCCACACTTTTCCCAGTACGTCGATGTCAGTTTGCATGTTTTGGAATATGCCAGTCTAGTCTAGCTCTGATAGATTTCCAGCATCTAGGAGAAATCTATTCTAAACCCACCAAGCTATTTCATCTACCTGTATAAGGGTGAATGAGTCTTCTCATAGTGCACTGCATACTGCATTTCAAACAAGGCATTTCAGCAGAATTGCACTTTAAAGCCCCAGAGGCATTTACTGTTTACTATATATAGCCCAAATAGATTATTCCTAATAATCTAATAGGTATTTTTGAAACACGTTGTCCAGTTTATGGTCAGAATGTAGATTCAGCATCATTTTTATTGGTTGCCATCAGTGTCTTGATTGTGACACCCAGATTATATCTCTGTGGTTCAGCTCTTAAGTTCTGAAAGGGGAACTCCATCATTTTTTCTAAATTTCTGCATAAATAATTGGTTATGATATAAATAAAGTCATCAGTAGTTTGATTTAAAATTCTTCATCTCCCTCACAGAAATTTATTACATGAAAGTTAAAAGCCTGCCTGATGCCTGAGACATTGTCTTGCAGTAGTTTTGAGAGGAAGTTTTGGTTTGAAATATATTTTTAAAATTCATTCATGGCAGAGAGGTACATGCAGAGAGCTGTACAGCAAAACAGTCCTCAAAGAAAACTTAATTTTTCAGACTGTTTTACCTTTATCAACATAGCATATGAAAATCCAGAAGACATGCAAATTCATTGGCTGTTTTGGATAGTAAATATAAAGTAGACTCATGGTTCCTACAACCACTGTAAAGAAAAGTCTACAATGCACTGTTTCACATCAAACAACTCAAAATTTCTTTGTTTACGTACAGAATTCTCCTTTAATCTGTTCCACTGGTGTTGAATGGAAGTCTCTTTTTTACCTGGTTATACAGCCAAATCGTGTGCCCTACAGCGGAGACGTTGTTCTCAGGGTATGCTGGCATTTAGTTCCATGAGTTTGTTTCCATTTTTTGGGTCTGTTCAAATGTGTGGCATCTTTTCCTTCAAAAACTGAAGTCTCTCCCCCTCACATGCGTCTCTGTAAATCTGCGGAGTTACTTCCAGTGTTCACGTGTGCATACTCATCATCCCTTTGGTTTGCATGCTTACAAAGGATGTCCAGTATTATCTACAAAGCGTCAGGGTGGCTACAGGTTGTTTTTCCAAACCAACAGGATCACACCTGATTCCATAAGTTTATTATTGATTTTGGTCTTCAAACAATTGATCAAATGTGGCCCTGATTCAAATGAAAACCTGCAGACACAGCGGCCCTTTGCAGAAAAGTTTGGACACCTCTGCCATAAAGCATCAGTATTGTCAATGAACAGTGAATAGAAATAGTCAAATAGGCAACATGAATACATGTGTATGGTCAACTTTTTACATGACAGTGTTTTGTAATTTGTTTTCTCTTCATGCTAATTTCCTTTATGATTAGACTTGACAGCACTAGAACAGACAGGAGTTTACTTTAGTAGACTTTGCTGACAATGTCATGTGCACTGATGCCAATGCTTAAACAGTGACAAACAGTAGAAACTCGCACTGGGACCGCAGAAACAGTAGAAACTGGGACTGTATTCACAAAACTCCTCAGAGTAGGACTGGTGATCTGGAATCAAATTCTTTTGTCATTTAGGTTGACTTTACTGACAGAAATGGATCCTCAGATCTACAGATCAACACTCATACTCTGCTTTGTGAATATGGCCAGGATTAGCATTACAGAACATTATCAGTCAAATCTAGTCATCTGTTCGGTACCATTCTCCAGTGAATACCTTTCTCCGTCTGTCAGTATGTTGGCTAAGCTTAGTGACTCTGGCTGCCTACTCCCTTTCATGTTGGTCATTCCACCTCATCTGCTCTCACTCCTTCTGCTGCCAATTTCTGATAGGTCTAGAGGTCTCATTGGGACAGAAGAAGGTTCTGATCTGACATTGTGCTGAACATGGCTTGCGGTTGCTTTCATTTAAGCCCCTGTTTCTTACATTTTAGTACATGAGAAAACTTTATGGAGACGTTTTTCCAATTTCAGATTAAGCACGACCTTTGTAGAGGTGCAAGAACAGCCTGGTATGTCTCTGGAGGCAGAGGTAGACATTTTGGTTTCAGAAAGTTAGTTAATAGATTTGTGTGGTGGAGGATTTTGACGCTCGTCAGATGTTTGTCAGATGGTTTGGAGTGTTCACGAGCTTCTGTCTCAGAGGGAAACTCTTTCTCCAGTCATGTCTAATAATGTTTCTAAGTCTATGGGCTTTGGATCTGTTTCCCCTGTTTTGTTGGCCACCTGTCTTCACACAGACTTTGCCTATGGTCCCATGTTTGTTGAAGACCTGAATGGACCAAATCATTGAGTGTAATTTTTTCTGATGCTGTTCAGTACCTGTGCCAGAAGTTAATCTTTTTTATCCTTGTTTCCTTGTGTCCTTGTTTATATGTAAATGTTTCCATTTTCAGTTCATTCAACATTATAAAAGTACAACATTTGAGACCTCAGAATGGGGCAAAGGAGTTCTACCTGGTTTCTTAGTAGCGTAGAAACTCTAAACAAAAGCTGTTCTTTGTAATGTAACAAAATCAAAATCAAATCAAACAATCACAATCAGATTTGGTATGAGAAACAAACACAAACAGCAGGAAATATCATCTAACAAACACAGCCACAAACAAATGCATTAACAACAAGCTAATGCTTTAGCCCTGTGCAAACGTGCTAGCCACAATACAGCAAAGCAGTATTACATGATGCATTATGATACAACATGATGCATTGCGTTGTTACACCCTAATAAATAGAATAGATTCCATTTCTCTTTGATTCCAGGTCATTAATTCCACTAATTTGTGCCATTTCAGATGTGGTCATCAAATACAGTTTTTTTTTTGTGTTCTGTGTGATCATCGTGCTGTCTCATTGGTCAGATATTGATGGAAATCCATGCATTCTGCATTTTAGAATTTGTGTACATGTTTCATTTGTGGTGTGCGTGTCTGTGTGTACCTTCTTAGTACCTCCAGTGGTGCCTCCTGAGTGCAGTCCAGGGGGTCACACTGTTCTTCAGAACCCCTACCGGAGCACAAGTTTCACCTCTCAGCAGCTGCCCCAGTCTGCCCTGCAGGAGAAGCTCATCTGTGACCACTCACTGGCTCCTGGGTGGTACCAGTTCCAAATCTTTGATAAACCAGCCCGTATGCCCACCAAATGTGTGGAGGTGTGTAAATATGTTTAGTTTGCCCCCGCTGAGATCAAAAGCTAATATTCAATGCAAATGTCCTGTAGCGTTACTTTGCTTTATGCCTAGTTGTAAAATCAGTAGCTGGTAAATGCTCAAGTGCTTAGATGTTAAAAAGAAGAACATTTTAGCTGTTGATTAGAATAGAACAGCTTATCATTCAAGTGTTCACACTTGACGGTCCCATCATTGCTTAGACACAGATTCAGAACCATCATACTACTTCAAAGGTGCCAAGAGGGCAAGCACATTGTGCTCATTCAGCAGCATTTAACTTTTCAGTTTCCTGCAGTGGCCTGGTCTTAAATTTGCATTGCATTGGGCAGTGGACCAGACATTACTGTCCTTTGAAGAAGAGGGTTGCAGTGGATATCAGAAATGTTTTAGAAGTGTTTCTAATTTAGCCACAGTAGGGGTAAGCCTCCTACACCTAAAGGCTTGGTCTTACTAAGTATAGTAGCCTTTTATGTTACACCACCAATAAACACTACCGATTTTAAAATGATTTAAAATCAATTTATTTGCTGATAAATAATAGTTCCAATACTGTATAACTGCATAGGTTTCAAATAGTTAGCAGGAAGCAATGAAACCTCTGGTGTCTAGTTTATAATGTTTAAATTTCACTTGTAAGGATGCAGCAATCATTAATTTTTTGTGGCCCATTCTGATTATGATTTCTTAATAGCTGATTTTTTTGTTAGTATTTAGTTTTTTTTTAACCCAAACGTTTTAACACTATGTGGACTAAATAAACATATGAAACACAGTAGCACTTTTTCAGTACTTGCAACTTAAACTTCCTTTGCATTTAAAAATCAGTTGCTTATTTAAATGAATCAAATAAAGCGCTGCATTGAAAATAACTGGTTATTTAACAGTTACTTTCAATGTAGTGATTTATGGTAATTATACCATGACATTTTGGTGTTGGTGTAGCAGAAGCATACACATGCAGCACCAGTGCACTTACTTGGCTCATGTTATTTACCTCATAAAATTGCATCACAGACAAATCGACCAACTGCTTACTGCATGATTGGAGTAAAAATCTACTGTTTCCAGTCTAGACTGATTTCAGTCGTGCCTGCTTTATCTCAAAGGTGGATTGGTGAATGTTAGGAATAATTTTGTTTATATACACATTCAGAGCTTTACTGTAACTGTAATATGACTGCTATCTTTTTCCAAAGCCGTATGTTACTGGCCCTCTCAGAGAACGCTTAGAATCGGACATATCTGTTTTTTTTCTATGATCTCACTAGGTGAATCACTGTGGAACCCAGGCTCCTGTTTGGCTCTCTCTGGCTGAGGGGGAGAGTCTCCCAGAGCCCCTAGAAGTAAAGCAGCTGACCGCTTGTGCTACCTGGCAGTTCTTCAATGGACCCAGTAAGGACTGCTGTCTGTTCCGGCTGCCTGTGTCTGTGCGTAACTGTGGGGAGTTCTTCGTGTACCTGCTCCAGCCTACACAGGGCTGTATGGCTTACTGTGCTGAGGGCAAGTCATATGGGTTCACACTATTCCACAGATAACACATTTAATAACTTTTCCAGTCAAGTTTGTTAATGCATTTATTTATTCAATTTTATATGCACAGAAATGTCGGACTCCACACAGCCGAGCTGTGAACCAGCACGCAGGAATATAGATGGAACTTGCAATGGTAAGCAAACCAAATAACATGGCCATTGCAGCTCATTTCATCTTACAGGCTTTGCAGAGCTATGAAGACATAAAATGTAGAGGAAACTTAGGAAAAACACCCCCTTAAGCACAGTGCCCGTTTACTGTAAAGCTAAACCATATCTGTGCATGAGTTTAGCATTTACAGGATGATGATGTTGTTAGGGAAAATAAACTGGAACAGCAGACTTCGTTGTTATGCTACAAACAAGAATATATTTACAATGGCCCTCTTGCCCCAATAGTGGGCCTTCCTACCTGTGGTAAGAAGCCCCCCTGGCAAATCTGGCATCAATTTGTTATCTAGGTTTTAAAGAATGTACAGTTTAGATGTTAGTTGAAACCTCTTTCAGTTTATTTCTTAATGATTCTACTTAATTTTAATACATTTTGACAGATGACAGTAAAATAGAAACACTTGAAATGACAATTTGTCAATTGTGATTTTATTGAATACAAAATTATATGTTTGAATATTATTATTATTATTATTATTATTATTATATGTACATGTAAATAATTATTATGTACGACAGGACAGATCAGGTGTGACTGTAACTCTGCTGAACTGCAAAACTCACAAACAAGTTCATCTCCAGCACAATGCCTAAAACTGGTGTCTCATTCTTGCCATCACTCTAGATAACATGTAATGTTAAGACTAGGTAGTCAGTAACACTCCAGTGAGCAACTTTGTGTTTTTATGATGAAAATCTTATAATAAAACATAATAAAACTTATGTACAACATAACTAAGGGGAACTTTGTGAATATGCACTGTATTTTTCAGTTTTAACCCTTGTTTTGATGTCACATTCTTTTGTTCAGTTCTATCAAGCTATTTTTACTAAGAATGTTAATTGATGTTTTTAGGCATGGAATATTCACTTGCCTTTCATTTTTGATTCTGATTTTTTGAAACACTTTTTGGTATCTGGATTGTTTCAAGATTTCATTTGTCTTTCAGGAGGTCTTGGTCATACAGGCACCAAAATAATTAGGGCCAGAGTTGCCAAGCCTGTGGAATGTTCCTCTCCTTAATGAGCTTAGCATGTGTGTTTGTGTGTTGGGGGCAGCTTGAGATGTTGCCATGGGATCCAGGTTATAAGTGATCATTCAGCTGGTGTTGATGGGCCCCAGTAGAGGCTCTCAGTCACTGCACAGGCAAAACCTCCTCACACCCACCTAGAGCTTCTGAACACTATGATCATGTCTTTTGAGAGCTTAGAGACAGTTATAAATTACAGCTTAATTTCACTTTTAGCAGGATGTGTGTAGAAATGGCATTGTGATGTCTTTCTTTTTACTAGCCATTTGCCTTGATTGTGCCTTCATTGGCAGTGTTGCCCAAATTCAGAACAGTCTTAGCCATTTCCCCATTTGTTTCTTCCCTTTGTTGTTTAGAAACTCAACATACATTAGATTCATACACATTATTGCCTATGTTAGCAACCCTGGTGGGGAACTTTGTACTGAGGACATTAATTGTATAAAATCTTTAACTGTCTTATTTCCTCCTGCAGATAAGCAGCCCCCATCTCCCTCAGTGCCTGAGATCGTGGCTGAGCTGTCAGGAACCAGTGTGTACCTAAAGTGCATGTTTAATGGTCTCAGTGGGAACAGTTCTCTGGGTTATGTTGTGACATGGTGGCGTCTGTCCCCGGACAGCAGCAAAGAGGAGCTCAGGCAGGAGACCACCATACAGACCTTTGCCTTCATTGAGCTAGATGGCATCAATCTGCGACTAGGAGACAGGGTACCCGCTCAATACAGTCATTTTTAAAGAGAAATCACTTTATCAGTGGCTACATACACTACATACACATACAGTTACATTGTATTAACAGTCAATGGCTATTTTGTCAGCTACATCTGTCATATGGCTTTAGATGTACTGACTGTAGCCTCTGTGTTGCTGCAGGATTTATCTTTTCTCTACCTCATCCATCTATGGAAAGGGACCAACACAAGTCCACCATAAACCAGATATTATTTGGAAGGTGGACCATTCTTTGCATAGCAGTGTCACTGACGTGACAATGGCATATTAGTGTGTGTTTAAACACCTCACTGCTAGACTGAGAGCCAACTGTTTAATAACGTTACTTTTCCAGTAGTATTATGCAATAATAATAATGCAGTCAAGTTTGTTGATGCATTTGTTTCTTCAGTTTTGTCTGTGTGGAGTCTGACAGCCAAGCTGTGAATCAGAACACAGGAATATAGATGGAACTTGCAATAACAATATCCAGCTAGCAGTTGTCCTGTGGTCAGAAACTGACCACTGATGAAGGACCAGAAGGTGACTAACACACACTGTGCATGGAAAAAGACAAAATATGAGTTATAGTCTCTAACAAGGTAGGTGTATCTAACACTGGTATCACTGCTGTGATGGATATTAAGTAAGAAAGTAAGTAAGTTTTATTTATATAGCACATTTAAAACCAAAGTGCTTTACAATAAAGCACAAAAAGGATTTCCACCTTCTGATCACATGGAAAGCAGACAAGTTACAGTCAGTAATTGTAAGTCAGCAAAGCACTCTTACATGGAAGGTGTACCTGATAAAATGGCCAGTGAGTGTGGACACAAGGTACAGTGCCATGAAAAAGCATTTGCCTGATTTCCACTATATTTGCATATTTGTCACACTAAATGGTTTCGAAATCATCATAAAAAATGTATTTGTAGGACAAAAAGAACATGAGGAAATGCAAAACACAATTTTTAAAAAAATATTTCCTTTTTTGAAAGAAAGATGTTTTGCAATGCCTGTATCACCCATCTGAAAAAGTAACTGTGTGTCCCCATGTAAACTTAATAACTGGTTGTGCCGTCTTTAGCAACAACACCTGCAACCAAACGCTTCCTATAACTGGGATTAGTCTTTCACATTGCTGTAGAGGAGGCATGTTAATCTGGCGACCTTCGGGGCCAAAGTGCTGCAGACATCAACGTTTACCCTCATCTAATGATCTAAATTCAGTTCATGAAGGCCTTGCAAATTAGCTGATGAGCTGAATTAGATGTGCTTAATAAGGCAGTGTGCTGAAGTCTGCAGTGTTTTGACTCGTAAGGACTGAAGCCTGTGCTGTCCAAAGTGGAACTTTGTCCCACTCTTTTTGGCAGAATTGCTTTAATTCAGTCACATTGGAGCCACGTTCGAACATGAACTGCACATTTAGGGTCCTGCCACAGCATCTCAGTGGGGTTCAGTTAAGGACTTTAACTAGGTTACTCCAAAACCTTAAATGTATTTATTTTTGAAAATGACTTTATCTTAAGCTCCGAATCATTGTCTTGCTGCATAACCCAACTGCTCCAGAGCTTCAGATTATCCTGTTGGTAGAGAGCAGAATTCATGGTTCTGTCAATTATGGCAAGTCATCAAGGCTCCCAAGCAGCAAAGCATCCCCACACTGTTAAATTGCCACCACGTTTTACTATTTATATGATGTTCTTATTGTGGAATGCTGTGTTAGCGTTATGCCAGATGTAACAGGACCTCTTTCTGCCCCCAAAACATTATTCCTAAAGGTTTGGGGGTCATCAAGGTGTTTTTTTGGCAAATGTGAGACAAGCCTTTACATTCCTCTTGGTTAGCAGTGGTTTTCACCATGCAACTCTCCCATAGATACAATTTTTGCCTGATCTCTTTCTAACGGTGGAATCATGACAGCTGACCTTATCTGAGATGAGTGAGGCCTGCATTTCCTTAGATGTTGGTGTGGGTTCTTTTGTGACTTCCTGGATGAATCATTGCTGCGCTCTTGGAGGTATTTTATTAGGCCAGCCACTTCTTGGAAGAATCACCACTGTTTCAGGTTTTCTCCTTTTGGATATATTGGCTCTCACTGTGGTTCAGTTGAGTGACGGAGCTTTTGAAATTCTAAGAAACTTTCCTTGTCATCTCTTCTGGAATTTTTACTGCTTGTTGAGGCCTTTTAACCTACTTCACACTACTGGAAAGGTTCTATTTAAGTGATGTTTAGATTGAGAAGGGTTAACAGTAAATACTGTGCGGTTGTGTCTAGTTTAATTGATTCCAATTGTCAAATAAATTGGTTAATTGAATATTTAAGGTTAAGGTTAAGTTACTTTTTCATATTGGGCCAGTTGGTGTTTTTCCTTCGGTAAATGAAGATCAGAAACACAATAGTATGCAAAATATTTATGCAAAATAGAAGAAATCAGGTGGGGGCAAATACTTTTTTCACGGCACCACAAAAATACCTGTTTTTTGTAGAGTTTGTACCAGGTAATGTATAGAGGTGCATGCATACTGAATTAAGATGCCAGATTCCACTACAGCATTAACTGAGGTCACCATAAACTGTGGTTTTCTCTGATCCCTGTCAACATGTTCTTTTTCCATCCTTGCTCTCTTTCACTCTCTCACTCTGTGCAGATCTATTGCAGTTGCTCTAGTTTCTTTCTGGATGTTCCAGATGTACAGGGTCTCTCAGTGGAGAGTGAAGAGTTCTTTGCTGGGATTCGGGTATGTTACCTCATATTCACTTTTCATTCTTTTTTTCAGTGTGATTGGACACTGCATCACAACTTATAACATCATAGCTTCTTTGGTCTGGTTGGGTTTTAGCTGAAGCCTGAGTTTGCCGCCATCTCAGAGGATGGGAAGGAGTATGAGCTGGTGATTGAGAGCACTGTGCCTGTGCCCTGCATTTCAGAGACATGCACACTTCCATTACAGCTCAGCACCAGCAGCCAAGGTACACATATATACCACCCTTCACTCAGACTATAACTGCATTTTCCTTGCATTGCCTTGTATTTAAAGTGGATAATTAATGATCATTGTGAAGTTCACCCATGTGCAACACTTAAAGCAGTATAGTAAAGAACAATAAAGTATATTATTTATTAAGTAGCACTATATTATTTATCATAGTGTTTGCAGAATTTTAGCTTTTTGCTGCAGCAGTAGGACCTTCCAGGCAACCCTGCTACCAGTAAATTATGTAAAATAAACATGGTTAAATAAACTATTGATCTTACCATACACAGCACTTTAAGCAGTGCTTGTGAAATATTTATGGCACGTTATTGAATGTTCTGTTATTCATACTACGTTTTACAAATATTTGCTGCACATTCCAGTGAATTACTTTGAAGTAACTTCAAAGGGCCTTGGCCAGTCCATATATGGAAACTAAGCTGCAAAAATAGTCTCTTTTGAAATCATTGGTTTCGTGCTGTCATGAAAACCATCTTATGTACATATATCCACCTGTTCGGCCCATAGCAGTTTAGCTCCGCCCATTCACGCTGATGTTATAAGGAGTGTTTCAACATTAACTGCTTTTTGAATGAAATGCAATACAGGGCAGCCAACCAGAACAGCCTGTTTAAGTCTAAGAGATAAAGAGAGGTTGGAAAATGGTCATGTAAAAATGAATTATGACTGAAGAAAATTGTAAGATATGGGCTTTTAAACAATTTTAAACCTATAATTCATTTGTTTATTTGTTCATTCATTTATTCCTATTTCATTTGTAGTGTTTCTCTCTATAGCATTTCTGACATAGAACATTATCATTATTATCCATGTGTGTTCACCTTAACACCTCAGATTGACATCTTTTGTTAAGTCAATTTCAAACATGTCTATTCTGTCCTAATGCATTATTATGGGTCACTAAAATATTGTGTGTTGCTCAGATGAGGAGTCTTTAGGTGCTGACCTGGTCCTGTCCTCCTGTGAGGTGGAGCTGTCTCAGGCTTTATGCCACGAGGGAGTGTGCAGTCAGGCGCTGCTGCACTACAGCCCAGTCACTGACACCATCAGAGATGGAGACAGAAGCACCCAGATTTACATTAAGCCTATAGTTAACACCAACTTTCTCTGGAATGGATACACACCTCAAAACGTGCAGGTAGTTTTATTAATTATTAATGTAAAAACATTCTATTCTATTTAGAACAGCTTTTTTTTAAGATGTTCTAAATAGAAAAATAAAAATAAATGATGTTGTTTATTATATAGTCATGTGCAAAAGTTTGAACACCCCTGGATAGTTTACACATTCTTCACAAGGAACAAACTTAAATACAGTTTAACATATGGGAAAACAATAAAATATAAAGGTGCCATAACTATTTGTACAGACCACGTTTGTTTTATTTTTATTTCAATATGTTAAATTTAGCAAATAAACAGTATTAGAATTGTGCATTAAAATGTGCAGAAGTTCTCTGTAGAGGATGTGTTCACTTATTTTTACTTGGAAATTCAACAACATATGTCATTTGACCAGGGGTACCCAAACCTTTGCATACAACTGTACTAATTTATCATTGAATCATGTTTTGTTTTATAAAATTTATACTACATATGTATATTTTTACATATTTATTCATATAATCTATTAGCTTTATTAATGTTTTTTTTTCAGATAATTGTAAAAGACATCCCACCTGCTTACTGTTATGTTTTCACTGATCCACACATCATCACCTTTGATGGCAGGTACAGTAATGTGTCTATAATCATAATTACATCCTTATTCCTTCGGTGTGTCTTCATAATCATGAAGGGCTGATATTTGGCTATTTGTCTTTGTTCTTAGGAGATATGATAATATCCAGATAGGCACTTTTGTGCTGTACAGGAGCTCAGCTCGGCCTTTTGAGGTGCACGTGCGTCAGTGGGAGTGTGCTAGTATGACAGCCCACCCCACGTCCTGTGTGTGTGGCTTTGCAGTCGGAGATGGGGGCAGTGTTATCACTTTTGACATGTGTAATGGGTTGGCTGGAGAGACAAAACCACGTCTGACAGTGAAGAGTGGAAGCCTGGTGAAGAGCGGAATCCGCATCACTGAGTCCTATCAGGGTCGCAAAGTCACTGTAAGTCACCATTCCCTGAACTATATCACCTGTGTGTCAACAGTGTTAATCTTCTCTTCATATTGAGTTAATGTTACTGTGTTTCTCCACTCTCTCAGTTATGTTTACATTGGGCAAATACGTGGCTTTAGGGATGAGACAGTTACCAGTTTTAACGAAAAACCATGCTATAAAACACAAACTCAATTTAAATAATTCAGTTGATCAACACATTTTTAAAAAAATGACAGTAAAATTTAATAGTCTATAGTTAGTCTCTCTACAAATCACATGCCACAACAAAAAGATTTTACATGGTTACAGTCTGATCAGTAAACAGTAGTAGTGGTGGTGATACATGTAGATTTCATCTAGTCACTGTCCAAAAACAAATGCATTTCCAAAATAGCAACTTTTCACAAAGTGGCAAAGACAATTTTAATGTATGTTAATGTAGAAAAATGTATTCCAATTAGTTTGGTGCATTTCTATTGGTCCATTTACACTGTCAGAAAAAAAGGTACTAAGCAGGTACAGTTTTTGTTCATCAAGGTGCAACCATTGTAAATGTACCCTCAAAGTTACAACAGTGGTTTTAAGGTCCAACTCTGTACCTTAAAGAAATTGTTCCCAGGGGAAATGTTTTCATATCCTACTGTTTTAAAACAGAACAGTAAAATAAAAGCCTTGAGAGCAGACAGGGTGTGTGTGGAGTCAATGCAACTTAAAAAAAAATGTATTTAAATGTAATATGGTGCCATTAGGTTCCCTAACTTAACAATGATAATTTGGTGCCTTTTTTCTGAGTGTGTATCATGAAATGTTCACACAATATAAATGTTGCAGAAAATAAAAATAGAAAAAATACAGGTTTATTTTCTAAAAAATGCAAAAACTTACTTTAGAAGTGAAAATAAGTTACTTTCACTTAAAATCAATATCACTTAAAATCAACCAAACATTTCATTTGCACATGCAAATTTGCACATGCAAATGTTTTTATATTTATATTATATGTTATATTTTGTTCATATTGTAGTTGATTTTTTGGCGTTATAATTTCCTAAGGTAGGAAAGGTAGGTAGGTAATAATATCAAAACCTGTGATGCCATGAAGCCAATATTATATCATCCCATGTCTCTGTGGCTTGTATATGAGGAAAAGATTAACCCACTTCCCACTTCATTTAATCATCTTTATGTGAAGAGCTAAACGTATATGTTTGGGGAAATAATAGTCTTTAGAGTACTTTAAATGTTCTCTCTCGGTTCTAGCTGTCATTCTCTTCAGGCGCATTTGTGCGGGCAGATGTGGCTGACTGGGGCATGAGCCTGACTGTGAGGGCCCCTGGATCTGATAGGGGCCATACTGAGGGCCTGTGTGGAACCTTTGATGGACGACCACTCAATGACTACCACAAGGAGGGAGGAGAGGCCGTGGAAGACAGCACTTCTTTTATTAACACATGGAGGTGGTTAGGACTTTTTGTTAACCATAGATTTAGGAACTTTCTTTCTTTCTTTCTTTCTTTCTAGTTTAACAAATTATTGATTTAATTGATGAACAGTTGTATAGTTTGTAAACAAAACATCACAACAACATCATTGCACTTAGCTGGCTTAAATAATCACTGATGATGAGGCATGAATTTTCATGAATTTGTTTATAAAATGCTGTTTCCCTCTTTAAATTTGTCATTCAGTGTAAATCTTTTACTGGCTTTAACTGTAACTGTGAGATTTTAAGAAGCATGTGTGTCATTTGCTAGGCAAACACCAAGCACCAGCCTTTTTGACAAAGTCCCACCCTATGAAGGCACCCAGAACATCCAGCCCTACTGCCACTGTAATCAGGAGCCCCGCCAGTCAAGCCTTAGAGCCCGACCTCAGTTTAGCCCCTCCCCCTGCTCTCATTTGGCACGCCTCCATTCTCCTTCCATCATCCCTGCTCTGGATGTCACAGTGGACTACATCAGCTCTAGGGAGCCTTTCAGGGAATCCCTTGTTCCTCTGGACAGGCTTAGACAAAATCCTCAGACATGGAGAGATGGGACAAGCATCCAAAACAACGCCAGGGGCCAAGGAAGGCGCCAGACCCACAAACAAGCCTCCTCCTCCTCCTCAGCCTATCAGAGTCTAAGTCAATCAGACCTGGAGGCCTTTACCTATTTTTTCCCTGAGGACCATGTTGTATCTAACCAGCCTGAGCCGTCCGCACCAGCCTGGCCCACTGAGTCTGGCCTGACAGAGCCGGCTGCCCGGCAACTCTGCGAGGGAGCCCTGCGGAACTCCACTGCTGGACTGGGTTGTGGTGATCTCCTGGCTGGAGTGATGGAGCAGGCCCTTGAAATGTGTGTGCTGGACCTACAGCTGAAGGATGACCGGGCCTGGCTGGGAGGCACTGTGCCCCTGCTGGAGAACGAGTGTGAGAGGAGACTAGTGGAGGAGGTGGGAAGAAGGGAGGAGCTCCGCAGTATACTAACGTTCCTCAGGTGCCCTAACCTTTGTAGTGGCAATGGACAGTGCACCGAGCGGGGCTGCACATGCTTCCCTGGGTTTGGCTCATATGACTGCAGCCTTGTCTCTGGTGAGTGTAGAGGCAGGCAAATGTTCTGTGAAACAAGTAAACGCCCTCCTAGGTCCCCCATGGCATGTATACCGTAAAATGCCTTTTCCTGCATTTTGTTTATTTGTCATAGCTGCTTAGAACCAAGCATAAAAAATGTGATTCTGAACTTTCAATCAATACCACATTTGTGTTTGTAAGTAGAAAAGGAAATATTTTATGACTTGAACTAGGTGAAAGCATACAGTCTTGTACTGCATAAAAAAACTTGTACTATGCAGAATGTAAATGTAATTAATGGTGTAACTAACAATGCAGTTTAGCATGTAAATATGTTGTAATATACACTGAAAATAATTATGTAATGTAAATTTAATGTATAGAAAAATGATAATAATTCCTATAGAGCTGTGGGTGTTAAAAGGTACGAAAAATGCAAACCTTTTTTTTTTTTACCATCACCAGTCATTTTTTTCCATTGCATTGAACGTTGAAACACGTACTGAAATTTGCAGGAAAATGACATGTTCAAGTTTGTTCCCTGTTAAGGATGTGTTAACTTAGAGTGATTTAGAAAAGTAGAAAAAAAAAACAAGTAATTTGACTGAGGATGTTTTCTTTTTCACATGACTGTGTGAGGCATTCTGTGTACATATTGGGAAAATGGAACAGTATTTCCAACAGTAGATATATTTGTTTACGCACCACATCATATATAATTACGTTCAGACTCATGTTAGTTTATGAAAGCTCTGTTGGCATCTCTGGTACATATCATCTGTTTCTTTGTTTTTTTCAGATGAGTCCCCAGAGATCACTGAGCTGGAGGGTGGAGGACTATGTGATGTTGGACACAGCTCCTGTTCTGCTGTCCGAGTTCTGGGACAGGGCTTCAGAAACGCTTTTGAACTGAAATGTGAGGTTATGAAGGAGAAGGTGAGATTTTTCTTCCCATCCAGTTTGACTGAGGAAAAACTGATTTCTGTAACTCTTAATATATTCTTCTTACAAATATCTGCAATATGCATATCAAAGGTTATTTTTCAACTATTCATATAATTCAGTTATTCTCTTATCAAATTATTTTTCAGTACGTATTTAGATAGTTATGAGTGAGGGACTGATGTGTTAGGATAATGAAACCTTTTACAGAACCTTTTTATGTTTGCTGTTTGTACAGGTAGTAGATGGTGAGTGGTCACTGGGTGATCCTCTGATGGTTCCTGCATCGTTCCTCAGCTCTTCTGCATTAGACTGTCAGCTCCCTGTAGAAGACATGCAGTCTGCTGATGGCCCACATCCACCAGTAACTCGCTGGCAAATCAAGGCGAGTCAGCACTTTTAGAATAATGCCACTTAAAATACTGTCACAAAAACAGTAACTCTATTGGAGAAGAAGAGTGTTTCCATTTCACCTTTCATCCATCAGCCATAACATTAAAAACACCTCCTGCACTTTGTAGTTCTACAGTTACAGACTGTAGTCCATCTGTTTCTCCGCAGACTTTGATAGCCTCTTTTACTTTGTACTTAAATGGTCAGGAGCCCTACAGGACCACCACAGAGCAGGTATTATTTGGGTGGTGGATCATTCTCAGCACTGCAGTAACACTGACGTGGTGGTGGTGTGTTAGTGTGTGTTGCGCTAGTCTGAGTGGATCAGACACAGCAGTGCTGCTGGAGCTTTAAAACACCTCTGTGTCACTGCTGGACTGAGAATAGTCCAGCAACCAAAAATATCCAGCCAACAGCGTCCTGTGGGCAGTGTCCTGTGGCCACTGATGAAGGACTAGAGGATGACCAACACAAACTGTGCAGCAACAGGTGAGCTGCTGTCTTTGACTTTACATCTACAAGGTGGACCATGAAGGTAGGTGTGTCTCATGTAGTGGACAGTGAGTGGACACAGTGTTTAAAAACTCCAGTCGCACTGCTGTGTCTGATCCACTTGTACCAGTGCAGCACACACTAACACACACCACCACCACATCAGTGTAACTGCAGTGCTGAGAATGATCCACCACCCAAATAGTACCTGCTCTGTGGTGGTCATGTGGGGGTCCTGACCATTGAAAAACAGGAAAAATAAGGGGTAACAAAGTATACAGAGAAACAGATGGACTACAGTCTGTAATTATAGAACTACAAAGTGCTCCTATATGGTCACTGGAGCTGATAAAATGGACCGTGAGTGTCAAAACAAAGAGGTGGTATTAATGTTGTGGCTGATCAGTGTAAATGCACATTAATGTATTAAAATTTTATGAAAAGTGATTTATGGTCATTTCTATTGGTCCATTTATCATAAAAAGTGACAAACTAAAGGCATTATCCAGTGGTTTAAAAAACAGAGTATTGAGTTTTTTGGATTGTGTTGAAGTGAAGTGTTTCTGTGTTGCGGTTGCAAGCTCCCATTGTTTTTGTTTGTGTTTACAGGTTTCCAATGATGGCTACAGCTTCAGCAATGCCAAGATTCTTACTCTGTTTGATGGAACATGTCAAGAGTGCACACTCAGCAGTGGGGTTCACTGCACTTTGAAGGTGTGTGTAGTTTATTACCTTTAAGTTAAGCTTTTTTGGTCCTGTATGAAGCTACTTTTGCCTATAAATAAAAGAGCATAAAACTGGCCAGAAGTGTACTTAAAATGCTTTGAGCTGGTCCTATTGGTCCTGTTGGCCAATGTTAGAAGTTAAATGTTTTCACAGAACTGATCCCAAGCCATTAAGTGTGTGGCCAACAGGAATGTGTTTACATTGTTTTCTGTGATCAAAGATGAATGATTTAGTAAGTTTTTTTTTCCAGCTGTTGACGTAGCCTTTAATGTTCATTATGTATATTCACTCAGTTCAGGAGCTGCCCTTTACGTCATCTGAAAATGTCATGATGAATGGACCAATAGAAATGCTCCAAATTCACTTAAAAGTTGAGAATGTTTTTGCCTTCTTCTGTAAAGTTGCTGTTTTGGAGATGCATGTTTTTGTCTGGACAGCAACAAAATACTTTGTAATTGTAACTGATCAAAAAAAAATATATATATAATATATATATAATATATATATATATATATATATATATATATATATATATATAAAACCAATTTACATTTATGAGTCTGGGTCTGGGCTTCTCCACCCTCCTCTGATCACTGTATTTGAAGGGTGTGTTTCACTGCAGTAATCTGAATAATCTTATTGGTGGTTGTTCCTTGGTTTGTCTGCTTCACATCCTCAGAACAGAAGCTGTAACATTGATGGCCAGTGTTATGGAGAAGCCGAGCGCAGTCCCAGCAGCCCGTGCCTTACCTGTCGGCCTGAGCTTGCCAAATATACCTGGTCCATCAGTGAGAGTAAGGTCTAGAGACACAGCTTAATCTAAAAAAAAAATCCTCTATGATACCCATATTTCTGTCTGACCACTACTGTATATACTCTGGGGCCACTCATCTCCATCAGTGTAACCTAAAGCTGGCATTTTTCATGCTCTTACAGTAATGGTATGTTCAGCTACACAGTTTCCTGAATTAAAGAGGAATGCCATTTACTCCCTTAGTAATCTGGAGAGGCAGTCATGTAAACATTTATGGTTGTTTACAATGGGTAGTAATTAAGTGAGCTTTGCACATATGGCTCTTGGCCCTGGACTCTGTTTAGTGGTGTAATCAACATCAAGACCTAAGTGTACACAGTAATGTGCAGCTTTAGGTTTCTCTCATTATGTTCCAGAAAACGAGCCTCCAGTGTTCCACTCAGAGCAAACCCACCTGCGGACATTTTATGGGGAAAACTTTGTGTACCAGTTTTTAGCCACTGACCCTGAAGGTTCTACAGTTCTGTTCACACTGGTGTCAGGACCTAGAAATGCGGTTCTCTCTCCTGCTGGTTTGCTCATTTGGAAAGCCCTGTCATCCTCCCCTGTGACCTTTGAACTGGCCGTAACGGATGACTGTAATGCAGAGACTCAGGCCACAGTAGAGGTGAGTGAGGAAGGCACACTTGGTCTAGGTTAGCCATTTGGCTATTCGGTTAAGGTAAGCCTTATGATGAACATTTGTTCTAGAAGAGTTTCCTTTAGATGCCTCTGGATCTCAGGGAATCTTTTTTATCTCTTCAGATAATGTTTGAGGATTTTTGTCTACGATGATCAGATAAAGCAGTCTAAACAAAGCAATTACAATTAATATCTTCAGTTTTTAACTTCAAAGCATTTTTTACTACATTACTTTTTAACATGCAAGATTTCATTTAACTTGACATTAAGACTGAAACTAGTCTCAGTGTTGTTTACCTGCTGTTTATGCTATATATTCATCATGCATGTGTATATTTTTTTCATGACCACGAGGGGGTGCCATGTGGCTTCCTGCAATATGAATGTATCTAAGGTTTCTACATTATTTCTGTCATATCTAGTTTTAAACGAATATCCTAATGTTTGTTAATTAAATGTTCTAACTGCACATCTGCACATCATTTCATTTACCTAAATCACATCACATATTATATAATAAATTCTCTTGGTCTTTTCAGACCACTGTACAAAAGTCAGAGACCACCCTTTATTTATTTAATTTCCAGTTAAACATACCAGAAAGAACAAGACGTTTTTCAGGAGATCTTTCTGAGGAGATTAGATTTAAGATAATCCACTTGCATAAGGAAGAAGAAAGTCAAATGAAAATATGTGAAAAACAGTACTTTCCAAAACTGGAGTTCAAAAACATTATAAAAATATAGAGAAAATGGGACTCCTCTCAACAGTGGAAGAAACCTGATGTTAACTGCATTTTGACTGGACAGTAAGTAAAAGAAGGGTGGTTTCTGGCTTTTGCAGAGTCTGTCAGTGTCTCTTGTGCTAAATAATCTCGACCTTTGACTTGTGACTGCATAAAAAACACTGCTCTTTGACTGACTGCTTTATCTGAGTGATTTAACCACATATCTCACAGGTTTCAGTTCGTCAGTGTGAGTGCCATCATGGAGCCTCCTGTGTTACCAACATTAACTTCCCTCCTGGCAGTGGAGAGTACCTGTGTGTGTGCCCAGCTGGTCTAGAGGGAGAGAGATGTGAGACTGATAAGAATGACTGCAAATCTAACCCATGCCGGAGGGGTGAATGTGTAGATGGGCTGAACTCTTTCACATGTCGCTGCCCAGAGGGTTTCACCGGTAAATACATTATCTCAACCAAATCACTTTGTGTAAAAGAGACTGTGGCATATGTTCCTATAGCTTTAATAAATACATTTTTGGCTTCAGTTTAGTCCTTCTGATGCTGTTTGTCTGGCAGGTGTGATATGTGAGGAGGACATTGATGAGTGTCTGTTAGCTCCATGTTTCCCTGGAGTTGCCTGTGAAAACACACTTGGGTCATTTAAGTGTGGACCCTGCCCTGACCACCTCATTGGGGATGGAAGAAGCTGCAGCCGTGAGTTCTTTTCTGTTATCTCTCTCTTTAACCCTTGAGAAATCTGCAGTTTAAGGTTACTAAAGCCTTCAGTTTAATCCTAAATCTAAGTACTATGGAGTTATTATTGTCATAACATTTTTGTTACGCATTACAATTTAATCTTTAATGACAATTAATTACACAGTTACACTATATGGCCAAAACTTTGTGGACACCTGCTCATCCAATGTTATTTCCAAAATCAAGAGTATTCAAAAGGAGTTTGTCCCACTCTGCTGCAATAACTGCCTCTACTCTTCAGAGAAGGCTTTACACTAAATGTTGGAACATTGCTGTGAGGATTTGATTGCATTCAACAGCAGAAGCACTAGTGAGCTCTGGTATTGATGATGGATGAACTCCTCTTGCCTACGCTTTGCATTGGACATGATGACCATAGGCTTATGTGCATCTGCTCCGGAGCATCCTGTTCTGTTGTCTGTTGTGCACCTTAATGCATCCAAATTCACTAATAAGAATGGGGTGTTGGACATAATGTTACATTTACATTCCAACAGGTTCCAATCTGCCTTCTTTCCATTTGTTTCGATGTAAGAAAATTGCAAAAACAGCAAAAATGTAAAGATTTTTGTTTTGTAACAAACACAAATATAGTATTGATAGTTTAGAATCTGCACATAACTTCTAATAATATAATAGACATGATTAATATAGTGTACGTAATTTTATTAATAATTTAATGGATATAATTTTTCTACTAAGATACAATTTTAAAAAAAGCTAATAAAATGTAAAAAGAGGTATAAAATGTGTTCACCATGGGGACCTAGGAGGCTTATGAGAGAACACTGTGCACAAATACTACTTTGGTATCATGACCATTATTAAAGTCATTCTAATTAACGGAACGTATTCTAACAGAACTCACTCATCCTGTTTTGAAAGGTAAATCGGGCCTTGATGTGGATAGAGAAGACCTGGGAGCTGACAGGGGAGTTAAGTTTGGGCTCTCCAAACCCAACCTTGGGCGAGGTAGGATAATTTACCTCAACATAAAACAATGGGAATATTACAAATTACACTTAAAATTCTTCTGTTTTGTCAAAGTATATGTTGAAAAATGTATTGATACTAAATGCTCAGTCACCTAAGATCAAGAACGTCTGAAAGTAGTTTGGTCTCAAATCACTTGACCATAGCCTTTATATATATATCTCTCCATTGTTCTGCTTGCCTTCCATCGTTAATGTTTTTTATTCTGTCTGCTTGCTCAGTAGCTCAGAGCCCATGCTCCAGTCGGCCCTGTCATCCAGGAGTCCAGTGCTTTGAGAGTGTGTACACGTCTGCTGGCTATGTTTGTGGTCCCTGTCCCCCAGGACTCCATGGCAATGGGCAAACCTGCACCTCAAGATCAGCAAACAGTGAGTGCCAATAGCATAATGATGGAATAACATATGAAAAGCTGTAGTGCGAAATGCTTGGAATTAAGTTTGGAAAAATAGTGTGATGCTATCAGCATTCATTATTTCAGTTCATCAAGCTTGGCCTTCTGACCTTCAGTGTTTTGCAGGGCAAACACCAGGCACTAGAGAAAAGGACAGGCCTGAAGTCATTTCCCCCACTTCCTCCACCTCTCAGAAAGCTGCTGAACCCTCTGTGAGATCTGAAAGACCTCCCCCTAGCAAGAAGAGACCATCGCTCACTAACAGAAAAACCTCTTTAAGCAGTACTGACCAGACTATCGATCATTATAAAGCTTCTGGGACTGGAGAGCAGCTGCATGAGGAGGAATTTGTGCCTGTGTTGGTTGAGGATGGCAGGACTTGTGCAGACTCCCCCTGCTTCTCGGGTGTGGCCTGTGAGCCTACATCCACTGGACATTTCAAGTGTGGCCGCTGTCCCCATGGCTATAATGGGGATGGAATCACCTGCAAAGGTTAGCGCTAACTCCTAAGGCTAACCCAAATGCAGAAATCGGGGATTGTCATAATATATACAGTTTTAGTCACCAGTAATCTGAAGCACAGGTTTAAATGTTATTCTGTAATTTAGCCCATTAACTCCTTTAACTCTAGGCTTATTACATAGTTAATAAACTCAGGACCTTGTATGTTGCATGTGGTATTGACATGTAATTGACAGGCATGTTTTATAGAGATGCACTATTATGAGACATGGGGGACAATGCCAATATCCAATATTGTTTATGTACAATTCTGCCAGTGCCAATACATAACCATTTATAAAACATATAAATTTAGAAGTAAATCTGCACAAATTAGCATTAGCATTAGCACACAGAAGTAGGACATTTATTTCTGTAGAGTAGCAAATGCAGTACAATGAATACCATGCAGACATTTTAGCACAGTAGCCCAGCATGACTTGAAGTACAATAAAAGCATCAAATATCGATTTGAAGTATTAATCAAATCTAAACATCCATTGAGTGCCAATACGTTTTAAGCAATTATCTGTTGATATTGTTATGATCGTGATATCACTGTGCATCTGTAATATTTTAACATGTAGCTGATTGTGACTTTGTGACTTTGTCTTGTGTGCACAGCGGTATGTCGCTACCATTGTGGTGAGAACATGGAGTGCACTCTGCCTAATACTTGCACCTGCAAAGAAGGATACACCGGCTACAACTGCCACATTGGTGAGTCACATTCCACCTACTAGCCAACAATTTTCATAAACCTTTACACACAATACACCACCTTTCAAACCATGATATTGATTTCCTCTTGGCAGCTGTTTGTCGTCCTGACTGCAAGAACAGAGGGAAGTGTGTAAAGCCCAACATCTGTGAGTGCCCTGCAGGATACAGTGGCCCAACCTGTGAGGAGGGTGAGCACTGTCATAGACATAAATTACTGTCTTAACTGTTTTAAAACCTTTTAAAACCTTAGAACTGTTGAACTTAATCTGCATTAGGTGTATTATTCAGTTATTAAGAGGAGTTCCACTGATTGTTCAAATGTCAGTTGCTGAGATATACAAAGTAATTTAGAGTGGCTTAATGTGAAATGGTGCATTGTAGAACGACTTACCAACTCACATTTCATGTGTGACAGGAACCAGGCTGTACAATGTCTACAACATATAAAGCCATTTTACTTACTATCCAAAATGATCAGTGAATCTAGACGTGAATCTATATGGTACGATTTTGCCACAACACCCTGCTTGTCCACCTAGTGGCCATTCCGACGTGGAAATTGATTTTTTTTTTAAGTAATATAATCAAATAAAATAGTTTAATTCAAAATATAATTTCACTTGAATTAAAACATTTTTAAAATTTCAATTTTAATTGTATAACAAATATTCAAATTCAGACCTTCAAAACAGGCTGGAATTGCATTTTATGGCTCCTGTGAAAAGGGATTAAACGTACATTTTAGTCCAAAACTATCACAAAATAATGTCACAGGAATTAGATGTCATACTCAGAACCATTTCAAGTAATAACGTTCTGTGAGGAAGCTTATAGAGGCAATAATCTCTTCAAACATCTGGTTCCTTTCACCACCACTGTGAACAATACTGACTCAAGAAGTTTCTCTACAGTGGTGCTTTCCATGTTACACCATTTCGATTGACTATATATGTTATATATAATATATTGAGTATATGTCATATATAATATATAATGGTTTAATTATGCAGAAACTTTGAAAAAATGTGGGAATTTTCTTCATTTTGTAATCTTATTATTCAGTAACTGCTATAAATTATTTGGCAACTAAGATTTAAGTGTTGTACTTGTGAAAATGAACAATTTAAGGGTTGGCCCATTGTATTGTTGTACCATTCCTTGCAGTTTAGGGGGGTTAACAGCAGCAGGGCCTTCACCTGGCCTATAGGTGTACAGGTGTCCTTCCAACAAGAAGAGGGAATTTGTGTTTTTTATATTTTTGTTCAAATACCCTGCTACTTTTACAGTAGACCACAAAAATGGGAAAAGGTAATTTAAGAAGCTGTGTGTGTGTAGCTGAAAGTCACTGTGTTGTTGGTCTCTACTTTGTTATTCAGTGAACTGTGATCCACCATGTGAAAATGGAGGCAGCTGTCTGTCCAGAAACCTGTGCACTTGCCCCTATGGCTATGTGGGGCCACGCTGTGAAATTAGTGAGTGTTATATGTCTTGCAGTGTGTTTTGCTTTAATAGATAACATCTTTCAGACAGTGAGATGCAGTGAATTGGTTGCAGTGAGATGCAGTTACTGTACAATACAAAAATTTACATTTTCATTTTCTCAGCTGTTCTTAATGCACATGACTGCACTTTGTTTCTGGTGTCTGTATGTGTTCAGTGGTGTGTAACAGACACTGTGAGAATGGCGGGGAGTGTGTATCTCCTGACGTGTGTAAGTGTAAGCCAGGCTGGTACGGACCAACATGTAACTCAGGTACCGTATCTCTTCTCTTCCTCATGATGTGTTTTCAACAGACATTTTGGTGGGTTTAATTTACCCGCACACTTGTTTTGCATTCCAGTCTAGGCTGCATCCCAACAACATAATTGATTATGATCATTTGCAATTTGTTTGTCTTTCAGCTGATTGTAAGCCTGTGTGCCTGAATGGCGGCACCTGCATTAAGCCTAACATCTGTGCATGTCCCACTGGCTTTTATGGATCACAGTGCCAAATAGGTATAGCGCAAGAACATCACTGTTGTTAATGACTATTTAGAGCTAATTGACAATTAGTTTAATCTAATAGTAAGTGACATAAGCATTTAACATTAATTTTTTTATCACCAAGATTTATTAATGTGATAATGTACAATGATATGTGTAAAAAATTGTGTAAAGCTTCTCTTTGCTAATACAGTGACAACACTGTACACAGTGTGTTGTGATTGGTGTAAAGGGAAGAGTGCCTAAAGAAGAAAATAAATTGCAATGTGTTGTCACTGTGTTCCAAAATGTGAACATAAATTAGTCATTTTTTAGTATAAGGAAAAAGCAGAAAGTGTTTTTTTTTCCAGTATTTAGTGTGTTCACCCTTTTTTGCCTTCCATTCTTTTCATTAGACTTTCTTTTAGTTTTCCAAAGAAATCTGCAAGGACGCTTATCCACAGCTCCAAAGCCCAGTCTTAGAAGTTGGTTGCATTATCTGCTTCTCATGATCCAATTATTCCCAAACACATTCAATGATATTGAGCTCTGGACGATGGGGTGGTCACTTTGAGAACACCAGCAGCTTCTTTGTTTGGTTTACAATTTTTTTGTCTATTTTTTTTCCCTGTGAGGGCTTCTTAACATCTACAAATCCTGTCAGACTCATAGTGTTGAGTTGTCCTTTCACAGTGGAAGTATTAACAGAAACACCTGTGATTTTTTAAAATCTGAATCAAGAGTGGAGCTTGATTTTCTCCTTTCTCTGAAAAATGAAAGCTTTAAGTACTATTGAGAGTGCCATTTTCTCAATAAGTTTTAATCATTTTTTGGACACTTATATTCCTTTGGCCTCCCTCCTAATGCAAGTGGATTATCTTGTATCTGATGTGTTCAGAAAAATCTACTGAAAAATGACTAAATGAATAACTTGGCAGTGGTGGTTTTGACTGGAAACCTAATAAATAAAGATGGTCACTGGCCTTTATTATATTTTCAATGTGTAACATTTTTATGAGTGACCAAACTGAAATGGCACACTGTGTTCTGTGTTATAGCTGTGTGCAGCCCACCCTGCAAAAACCGCGGACAGTGCATGAGAAACAACGTGTGCTCCTGTCCTGAAGGCTACACTGGCAAGAGATGCCAAAAAAGTGAGTTTGGTATTTACTGGCAGGCATGATACACTGTTTAATATCTGGCAATTAACAAGCATAGACAGTGGTTTAGTCTGGATTTCTGCTACCTTGAACTCTACAGTGACTTTTGTCTGAACAACCAGGAAATCAACTTGTTTTCCGATGTGATTTTTATGGCTAGCCAACTGCATGTGCAAAATCTTTGTGTTTGTATTTAGGTGTGTGTGATCCCATGTGCATGAACAAAGGAAAGTGTGTGGGTCCAAACACCTGTTCCTGTGCCTCTGGTTGGCGGGGAAGCATCTGCAACATCCGTGAGTGAACTTTTATGTATAAAATATCCTCCTCTATTTAAAGAGCTTGGCATCACTGTTTTCAATAATAATACAATAAGAAATGTTGTTGCAGGTACAAAAATAAAATAAATTACATTTATATTAAATAATGATGTATCCAGTATGATGAGCAGAGCTGTACTTGATTCCGTAATGACCAAGAAAGCTGTAAAACATTGAGAATAATAAAAGTAACATTCAGAATGTCTCATATTGGAAATGTGGTGATCAAATCTCAGACATATAATGTATCAAGAAATATACATTATAAGTACACAAGTAAAATAAATAATTACTGTACAGTATTTATCATTTAACTACCTCTTGGTGTTCCCAAAGAACTTGAAATACTGAAAAAAAGACTTGAAAATCTCAAAATGTGGTATGTAGCTTTTAGTATGTCAATCTATGTTGTGTAAGTTGTCATTGAATCAAATAACAGCAATTCTTAACAGGATTCCAAACTTCTGAATGCTACTGTATGTTTGCCATGTTATGACTTTTGATACAAGTTTGAAAAACTGAATATTTTCAGTAGTGGTTTCACTTATTTTGAGCAACATTCAAAAACATTTTGAATACTGTATGTGTAATAATAAATATATTAAACATAATATATGTGATCTCTGTTCTTTATATAGCGGTGTGCTTACAGAAATGTAAAAATGGAGGTGAATGTGTGGGTCCGAATACCTGCCACTGTCCTGCTGGTTGGGAGGGCCTGCAATGCCAGAATCGTAAGTCCAGTTAATGTCCTATTAATAGCTGACCTCTAGTGCAGTATATTCAGTTCAAAAACTTGGAATTTTGATTGGAACTGGACATGTTTTTAGATAGATAATGACAAGTAAGGCTGTTCCTGGCTCCAGATGCTTGAGATGTATGTGAATATGTGAGTGTATCAAAGAAACTAACAGTGGCATTGAATCTAATGGATTTTAATGAATGCGGTAACTGTCTCAGCCATCTGCAAGAATAAGTGCCTCCATGGAGGAAGGTGTGTGCTGCCCAACTACTGCCACTGTCGCCCGGGGTACAGTGGGCCCACCTGTGCCACTAGAGTAAGCCAAGCTTCAGTCCTTCACTCTTACTTGCAGCTTTGTGATAGATTTAGATAGATTCATCTGTCTTGTTAAAATGCTTTTTGTGACTTTGACAGCTGAACATTAATTCTGCATTTTCAGACCAGATGATGAGAGAAGACCAGGAGACCAGACAGACTTGAGGAACTGGCTTTGATGAAGGTCCTGTCTGTGGTCTACCTCAGAGAAACTACGAGCAGTTTAGTAGTGTGCGTATGAGGGTGTTTGTCATACAGACACTACTGTTCAAAAGTTGGAATCACTGTTTTCAAAAAACAATTTTGTTGCAGATTCATGCATATAGTTACTGAAATATGATGCTAATATTACAGGTTTCAAATGTGTCCAAATCTCACTGATCAAATAACTATTCATACACATTTTGTAACAAGAAATGACTAATGTGTCACACACACATATATACACTCAAATGCAAAACTTTGGGCGCTGGTCGAATGACATATTTTGATGGTTTTCTGAGGAAAAATAAGTGAGCTCTTCGCCTCATTATCTCTACAGAGAACACACTTCTGCACATTTTTATGCACAGTTACTGTTTATTTGATGGATTTAACTGTATAAAACATAAAATAAAACATAAAACTGTGCAAAAGTTATGGCACATTTAATATTTTGTTTTTTTTTCAGTATGTTAAAATTTGCAAAAAAAGGCATATTAAAAATTGTTCCCTGTAGAGGATGTGTTAATGTATTTGCACTTAGACAAAACATCAGTATAAGTCAACAAAACATGCCATTTGACCAGAGTTGTTCAAATTTTGCCAACAATTGCATGTTATTATTTAAGAACATTTGCTGTTTGTCAGAACATTTTGATATTCCCAAAATACGGTACATTGGTGACTAGTTTTGGTGTCTAGCTTATAACATTTCACTCTAAACTGTATAAGTTATTATCAAATAACAATTACTAGTAAGACAAGCAATTCCAAACTTTTCAACGGTAGAATAAACTGAAAAAAGAGTTATTCACTTCAGGACTTCCGCACTGCTTACTGTTTCAATCTGTGATGTACTGTTGCTGGAACTGAGTATATGCCAAATGCCATCTGACACTCCACAAGTTGCTATCATTGTCTGTTTTCAGCTGGTTTCACTAGATTTCTTAACTTGGAGATTTGTAATGTCTTTTATCATATTTTGCAATGTGGAAATCTGCACTGTACAACCCAGAACTGGTTGAACATAGAACATGTAGAACATAGAACAAGAATTGAATCAGTAGGAAAGCACAGTGTACATGTGGCTTACACAAAGAGCTTTACATTTATACAGGTAAATTTCTTGAACAAAATTGGAATATACTGTATTTTACTGGCATATTTTGTTTCTATTTTGTAAAATCAGGTATAGAAAAATATGTTGAATGGTTAATGTTTGTGTATATGATTCCTTGAAGTCTGTAAATTAATGTTTTTATTGGTTTCAAAATATACTGTTGACACTGGGAATATGTATATGTAACTCCTGTATCAGTATATATAAACTTCTATATCAGGATTTAAGTTGATGCTTACTAAAATGAAATAAAGTACAAAAACAACAATAGACGTATTGAAGTTGATTTACATGTATGTCTTTTATCATCACTGTCAGGACAAAACCTTGTATCTCCATTTTTGTTATTTTTCATTTTTGGCATAATCTGAAATTGCCAGCTGCCCTTTATATTGTGTCAAAATTTCATGATGAATAGTCCAGTAGAAATGGCCCAAAATGCCTTGGAATAACTGTTGACTTCCATTAAAATTGAAGGAGGTTGTTTAGGTCTACCTTTTTGGAGATAGGAGGTTTTATTCTGCCAGTAATGATATAGTACATTAAAATAGTTCTGAGTGCAGTGGTCAATAAATCTCCAAATGAACTCTCTCACGCACACACTCACAGTCTCACAGTTTTTTAGTTACCATGAAGTACAGGAAATCATCAATTACACAGCGTATTTTGTACCAATTGACATAATAAGTCCAGTAAATGTAAACACATAATAAGTAAAACATCAGTCACATAGTCTAATGAACAAGCACAATATAATAGCACCATTTCGAAGAGGCTCCAGTCCTGGTGTGTGAGTGACTGTGCTGAGGTTAGAAGAGCTTTTTCTTCTCCTCACACTGGGGGCCGGAGAATGGAGCACGACAGCGACAGGTGTCAGGAGACACACACTTCCCCCCATTCAGACACGGCTTCTTGCACACAGCTGTGGGGGGGAGACAGCTGTTAAAATGTGTTACTCTGCCTGCTGCTGCTCTGAGATCTGTTTTGATTGGCTAAATGCAGCACTAATTCAGCAAAAAATGTTCTGCCCATATCATGGAAAATGAAAGTTTTAAATAAAAGTTTGCTGCAGTACATAAACATTTTCAAATCGTACTGTTCACTCATCAGCCCATACAGTTAATTTATGGAAATTAAGCTACACACAACCTAGTTTTGAATTAATTGTTTTTGTGATGTAAAGAAAACCAACACATTCACATTTGTCTATCTCCTCAGTGTACAGCAGTTTAGCTCTGCCCATTCACACTAAAGTCACATTGAGGCACAATACAGGGCAGCCAGACACAACATAGATCATTTACACACAGTTGTATGCAAAAGTTGTATGCAGAGGATGTGTTCCTTTGTTAGTAAAAACAAAGGAACACATCCTCTGCAAAGAACACACTTCTGCACATTTAACACAGTTACTGTGTATTTGTTGAATTTAACATATTGAGGAAAAAAATAAAACATGTAGCCTCTGCAAATAAATAGAAACTGTGCACAAAAATTTGCAGAAAGATGCCATATTTCAGTGTGTTGTCTGTAGAGGATGTGTTAACTTATTTTCACTTAGAAAATCAACCAAACATGTAATTTGACAGGTTCAAACTTTTGCACACAATTGTACATCAGTCTGAATGACACAGCAACAAATAACAAAAACAGCCTGTTTAATTCTATAGGATTCACAGTTGTTTGAAAATGCTCATGTAAGAACGAATTATGGCTGCTTTGGTATTTAAACCCACATGAATATTACAAGGGATAAAAATAAATAGAATAAAAATGTAGAATATGGGCCTTTTAAGTGGGTTTGAATCATTGTTCTAGCTAACATCACAAAACATAATGACTATATACAGTCATTGTCAGAGTTTATGCAATGTTTATGTGATCTGACCTGTGTGACAGGCTCCCCCTAGCCATCCCTCTGGGCAGCTGCAGATTCCTGGAGCCACACAGCTGCCCCCATTCCTGCAGCCCTGTGGACAAATCGCTGTAGAAAAAAAAGAACACATGCTCAAAACATCATGTAGTCATTAATCACCGATCTGGACAATTAATTTGGACCCCATAATGGGGCATTCTGAGGAAATGTTTCAAGATGTGCATCAGGGTTCATCACTAAAACTCATCACTAAAACTACAGTGAACTGCATAAACTAAATGATATTGATTTATTCCTGAAACTGTGTGAATGTGTGTGCGTGTGTGGTTTGAATACATTAGTAGATAACGTCATCATACCCTCCTGACATCTGGAGCCAGTCCAGCTGGATGGACAGATGCACTTGGCTTCTCCATTCACAGCAGTGCAGTCCCCACCGTTCCAGCAGCCGCCATCACACATCACTGTTAACCCAAACACTCAATTTACAATCCTATCTACCCCCACCCCTTACCCTCTCACTGCTCCCCCACTCTCATTTTTCTTTTTCTTATGTCTGCTGTAAATGATAAATCCCTCCCCTCAAGCATCACTACATTTAGAAATATACATTTCAACATTTCATTCCAAAATACTGTATATCTAACTATAATTTAGGACATAAGGAGTTTTTGAAAAGAATAGCAGCTGATGTATAATGAAAAAAACATTATTTTTCTAATTAAAGTGATATTTATCGTAATATAGCTTTTATATTTCTTGTATGTGTAAGCCCACTCCCAGCTACGTATATCATGAAAAAAGGAAATTCTTGAAAATGGTCTATGGTCTTTGAAACAAAATTCTTCATTTACAAATATACAATGAAAAGTATTAGGAAAAACAAGGTTTAGACTTATATCCAAATACCTTTGTGACAGTATTTTCCCCCAAATCCTGGAGGACATCTGCATTTCCCAGGTCGAAGACATTCACCCCCGTTTTTACACTTCGGGTAGCAGTTTGCTGAAATCAACAAGCGTTTCTGTTCAGTTTAGCTCCTTAGAAAACATGTCAGTCTAAAAGAGAACAGGATCACTGTACTTCACTTTAAACTGTTAAGCTTGTTCCTCAGAGAGGATCACAATGGAAATCTGATGCATTTGTACATACACATACAAAAACTCCTGACCTCCCACATTCTTTAAATAAGTAAACAACATGGAAACTTCACCATACTGGCAGGTCTCTCCCTCATATCCCCGTGAGCAGAAGCAGGTGTTGTTTCGGATGCAGATTCCAGCGTGTTTACAGGGAGGATCACATACTGCTTTGAGGTCGAAGACGAAAGGCAGGGAGACCCCACGGGGCGCATCTGACCGGCCCAGGCACACACCGGCCAACAGGGCCAGAGTGGCCAGCAGGAGCTGTGTCCGTAACAGGGTGGACGAATGGCTGAGCATGGTCAGGAATGGTCTCATATGCACACTCACACAGGCAACTGAGAAGAGTGAAGCTCCAGGAGCTGTGAACTAGTCCCTGCATATTCCACCCCACTCCACAGCACCCCTGCTGGACAGAGGAGAAAAAGTACAAAGCAGCAGCTGGGAAAGTCTGAACAGAGAGAAAGAGAGGGAAACATAACAAAGAAGTGATGGTTATTTTCATCAAAAGTAAGACAGTGTATATAGATCTACTGTTGGTGGGTTGGTAGGATGTGCATTTGTGTTCATGCCTCTATTTAAGATCTTTCCATCTCAGAAATACATTACATAAATGATACCCTAATATAAATAATGTCATTAGCATTTAATGAAAAGATTCTTATACCTAAAATTAATGTAAAGGCTAACAGTGATGATAAACTTTATATCTCTATGAGTTTCTGTCCACAAAAACAGGAGTATAGTCATGAAACTTTCACAGTCTCATTGTAAAGTATCACATTCCCAGATGTAAGGAAATGGTTTCTCCAGATGTGCACCAAATTATTCCCCCCAACCCAAGTACAACTCAATGTTTTCAGACCACTGCTGACCCATTTCCTTCTCTCAGTCAAAGGCCAAACTGTCTGCATCCAATATTCTTGCATCATGTATTAAAGACTAGTTAACTGTTATAGAAAGTGTGATTGTTCCATCTTATAATGATCCTTTTGACACTATTTCTCAATAATCGTCATAGTTCTATAAAGTCTTATTTGCTGCAAAGTCTTCAAAGTCAAAACACTATTTTTAAATACTGCTGGAAAAATCCACTGAGAATACAAATTAGGCTGTTCACAAATATTGTGTCAAAGCAGACAGAATGACTGTATATGGATAATCATTCATCCTGGAAATGGTTATAACCACTGGCTGTTGTTTCAGGGGTCCCATAAAGTGCAACCAGAATAGGCATTTCTCTTAAAACTGGCAGAGGAAGTGAGGAACTTCTCTAATGGCTTCAACAGATGTGCATAGTCCTTTCCTCAAGAGACATGCAATGCACTGCATTTCAGCATGTAAATAGCTGGCCCACTGACACAGCTACAGCCACATTAAAGGGCCCATATCATGGAAAACTGAATTTTTGTCACTTGTTTCTTTTTAAATAAAAGAGTTTGATATGGTATGGAAGCATTGTTTCAAAGTATATTCATTCCCCACCCCATACAGTCCATACATGGAAACTAAGCTGAGAAAACAGCTGTATTCTGTATTTAATTTGTTTCTGTGATATCATGAATACCAACACATTTAAGTATATCTGCCTATTTAGCCTACAGCAGTTTAGCCCCTGCCCATTCACACTGAAGTTATAAAGAGTGTTTGAACCTAGACTGCTTTTTGAATGAAACACGATACAGGGCAACCAATCAGAACAGAGGTCATTTACATACTGTTGCTGTCCAAAACAAACAAACAAACAAACAAACAAAAAAATTCAAAACGGGAACTTTGCAGAAGAAGCCAAAAACTTTCTTTACTTTTTATGTAAGCTAATGAAATGAGTTTATATTTCAAGCAATTTTGAAGCATTTCTACTGTTCTGTTGATCATGAAATTCTCAGATAATATGAAAGGACAACTGCTGTGCTCAAATGATGTAGAAAATTAGAGATATATATTTTTTGGACAATATAAAAGTCACAGTAACGTAAAACACTGTAATAAAGAGAGGTGGGAAAATGGTCATGTATTAAGAGGTTTATGTATGTTTTTGATACATAAACTTACAGAAGTGTTATAAGGGAAAAGAAAAGAAAAGAAAAGAAAAGAAAAAAGAAAAGAAAAGAAGAAAAAGAAAAAGAAAAGAAAGCAAATGGCCTCTTTAAAATGTAGCATATGGGCTATTGTATAAATGTGAAGAATATTCGCTGAACAAAGAACATCTGCTCTCAGCATAAAATTAATCCAGGTCTAGGCTTAACATGTGTCAGACAAACCACTTCACAATTAGAGACAGCGTGATATCTTCTTTCTTCTTTTTCAGATAGCAGTACTGGTACTGAAAGCCGATACTGATCTCACACTTTTTAATACAACTATTTGCCTTTAATTGAAGCACTTCATTTAAGATGAGCATCTAAAAGTAGTCTATCATGCTCAAACATCTCGACTAACCCACAGGAAGAAACACACAGCTAACAACAACACATCATATAAGACATTTTACAGTATTGGATCCAATTTGTCTACTTTTCTCCCTCTGATTTCTGATACAGCATTTTCTGTTGATTTCAGTGATACTGATATGGGGATTATAACTGAGTAACTACATCACATACAGCTAACAGGTAGTTTTAAGACAAAACACTAGTAGCTTTTCACTTTCATAATCACAGTGATAATCCAGGACCAGAAATATGAAAACCTGGTCTAGGCATTTTTATACATATTTAGGTAGATCTAAAGTAATGCTATAGATATATGTAATTGCTTACAGTCAATTTTTATATTGTTAGAAAAAAAATGCTTTATTTTGCTAAACGTTGCATTTTATTTTAAGGTTTTTGGTTCATTGTCATGTATAATTGACATTTGTCTAGCTTAAAGGCCATAAATTACAAACAAACTTAAACATGTCGTTTATTTTTGCTGGTCCATAGTGACACTCCTATTTAACTCTATGCAGAGTGTCAGTACAATGGCGCCATCTTGTGAGTACAAGTCGTACTTGCACCACACCTCTGCACACCATGCAGGCTCCATTTTTTTATTTGTGAGGATGTCAGGTTTTATACATACATACATACACACACACACACACACACACACACATATATATATATATATATATGTATGAAAATGTATACTGGAAGTATTGAAGGATCTCTCTTGCTTCTCCTGCTCTCTGTTATCACAAATTGTGTCGTTTGCACTTTAATTAGATTTCGCTAGAGCAAGTACTCAACATATGGAGCACATTCAGCACAAGGCACGTCTACAGTCGTGCTGGAAAAACATCCCTGGAGTCTCCTCATGAAGCTGCTTAAAAGAATGCTAAGAAGATGCTTCAAGGCACAGGAGGAGCTAGGGTGAAAAATAAAAAATAAGATAGCTTTAATTTCGTCAGTTCCGCATGTTTTTATTTTGGTGTCTTCACTGTTGTTCCAAAACTTGTGACTGGTAATAAACACTGATGTGACACAAGACTTGTTGAAATGCGTGATTTATATGAAAGTAGGGGGGGGGGTGGTATTTCTAATAGACTCTGAATTCAATGTTTATGGATGCTTTTTCCATAATCCTGTATTGTAAATTCAGTACATTTGTTTCCTAATTATATGCAGGTTTCCTTGTTTTTTGTCTGTCAGATGGAAAACAATTACAAAACAATAGAGCAATGAAATTCTGTTGGAAAAAAATAGAGCATAACTGTTCTCTGCTCATGTTCAAAGCCAATGCAGTCTTTTTGTGAGCGTTTTTGTGGTAGACATGTAAGGAGACTACAGTCCAGAATGTCCAACAGTGGAATAAAGCATTTTCCCCCATGTTTTGGAATTTCTTTAAAGAAATAGTGCTTTATGTACATAAACCTTCCCCTTCCAAAGAAGTGAGGTTTGTTTCTCATTAAATAGGAGTTCTAAAGGAAAACAAAGCTTTGGAAATTATCCATTTATAAGATAAACTCTGAAACTACTATCACATACATTATATGGTCAAAACTATATGGACACCCCTCCTAACTACAGAGTTCAGGTGTTTCAGCCACACCTACTGTTAATAGGTGTATAAAATCAAGTGCAGCCATGCAATCTCCATAGACAAACATTGGCAGTAGAATGAGTCATATTTAAGAGCTCAGTGACTTTAGATGTAGCAGTCATATCATGCCACCTTTGCTGTAAGTCAGTTTGTGAAATTTCTGCCCTGCAAGATCATCCCTGGTCAACTGGAAGTGCTATTGCTGTGAAATGGAATCTAGGAGCAACAACAGCTTAGCCATGAAGTGGAAGACCACGCAAACTCACAAGGCTGCGGAGTGCTGAAGTGTAAAAACTGTCTGTATTCTGTTGCGTCACTCAGTTCAGAGTTCCAAACTGTGTCTGAAAGCAACATCGGCTCAACTGTGTGTCAGAAGCTTTGCAAAATGAGTTTCCATGGCCGAGCAGCTGCACACAAGCCTAAGATCACTATGCACAAAACCAAGTGTTGGCTGGAGAAGTGTACATTACACTACCATTGGACTCTTGTGCAGTGGAGTAATGAATCACAATTCATTACATGGCACTCTGATAGACAGATCTGGGTCTGGCGAATAGCAGGTGAACGTTACCTACTAGAATTTATGGTATCAACTATAAAGTTTGGTGGAGGAAGGATAATGGGTCGGGGTTGTTTTTAAGGGTTTGGGCCTACAGCATACACAGACATTTTAGACAATTTACAAGTCTGGTGTGGGGGAACTCCAGCGCACAGATCTCTGACCTCAACCTCACTGAATACGTCTGGGATAAACTGGAATATCGAATGCAAGCCAGTCTTTCTCATCCAACATCAATGCCTGACCTCACAAATGCTCTCAATGGGAACAAACTACCACAGATGCACTCCAAAACGTTGTGGATAGCTGTTCCAGAAGAGTGGAGGCTGCTATGTCTGCACAGAGGGAAGAACTCCATTGTAAGGCCCACGGTTTCGTTATGTGACGTCCAATAAACACATATAGGTGTGATGGTCAGCTGGCCACATATTTTTTGGTGCTGCATATGGTGTATAGCTACTTAATAGTACTTCATAGTGCATAATTACTTAAACTGATTCATGAAATTCTTATCACAGATCAAATTACACAAATGACAAACACAAATCAAAAGCATTCATTCATACCACACTAGTATGAACCAACCTGTAGTTCATGACTTTATTGTAAACAGAACAGACCATCCTGGAAAACTGACACTGACACAAAGAGTCAAACATTTGTCTGTAGATTCTCTTCACAAACGACGTGGACTTAAAAATCACTCAGAATACCACACATGTCCTATATACAGTTACAACAGATGAATTCACTATGACAACACGAGCAGGATGGCAGCTGAAGATTTTTATCTTACAAAATTAACGTCTTTAACATGTCACTAAAACATGTATGTCTGTTTCTGTTTATGCCTTTAAAACTAAAGGCTTTTTACATTAAAGAAATGTGTGTAAAAATATATATAAAATATAAAATGCCTTTATTTCTAATGCGCCAATGTATTTCACTAAAGGCAGTTTACATTTCATAAAAACTCATAGCTGTGCCTGGAAATGGGCTTCTACACTTGCTTTAGAAATCTAATTGAATTTTTATTCTCTGTACATGTCAGTTCTGTGTAGAGTTCAGAAAAATGATAGTGGTTCATGACTGAAGCATATTGGTTTATGATTGCAGTCCATAACTGGCAATACATTTTGCATGTGTATGATTTGTTCAAAGCAAAACTCCTTTCTTTACAGCTCAAGACTCTTCTTGGATAAAGTAGGTGAAGAATGTTAAGGAGTAGTGGACCAACAAGTCACTAGGGATATTTCTCTAATGCACTCTATGGCATATATTGCAGTTCCTACCATGCTTCTATCTCCCAAACATAACCCTGAAGCCTGCTCTGATAAGTTAATAATGAGAACCTTCTGACTGAAACCTTGCAGTCTTCCTGACATCACCATGCATGGGCACATAAAATTGATCAGGGCAGGACTCCTAGTAAGTCAGTGGGTTTGGTTTCAGGGGGAAGAGGGTCACTGGATCACCATCATATGTCCATTGAGGCTGGTGGTGTTCGAGCCGCAGTCCACATACAGGTATCTCTCCTGAGATATCTGCTCGGCATGCCCAAAGTACACGGTGGTCACAGTCATCCTAAAGGGCACAGTCAGAGCACACAAGAACGTGAAGAAAGAATAAACCCAAGTACAAAGGTAGGAGTTTCTACACTAAATAAATAAACAACATTCCTCATTCACCAACACACTGGTTCCTTTGGTTTGACAAGTTTAGACTGACGAAGTTTAGACTGACGAAATTTACTCTGATGAAGTTTAGACTGACAAAAAGCCTGAGTGGCCTGAGAGGTACTATTAAAAACTGTGAACATGAGTACCAGGTGCAAAAAAATACCAGATACAAAACCTAGCAATCTCAAACAAAATGTGTTACAGTGAGAACACCAATAAAGATTAAGCCCAAGTTGATTTTACACTCAGATACATGGTGAAAAAAACAATGTGACTAGGACTGCAAGGTTAGCTGAGGTAACAGATGAGTAGCATTTATCTTTAAAGATTTTAGACTGACTGCCTTTATGTAAATTGCAAGCCTTTTGTGGCCTGGCTGAGAGTTTAACGCAGTAAAAACAAAATGCTGAGTAGCGTGCTTTGGCACTTCGAGAAACTGAACAGTGCTGGTAGTCGCTGAATTTGGCAGTGTTGTATGCAGCTTCATTGCAGACAATAGTTTAAAATTATTGGACGCAGCACGCCACAGGTACCTGTAGATACAACAAGGGCTGCACAATTTGGACATCAAATGCAACGTTCGCTAAAGCTGTGGGATGTGGGATCAGGATGACGATATGAGAAACGATAAATTATTATAAAATTATTTTGCCTCTGACTGGATGTGACAAGTACAGAAATCTAAACTGCCTCACCCATAGCCACACATCAAAATACTGAACTACAACAGCACCATTCACTATTGTGCAAAATAAAAGACACGAAATACTAACATGCTAACAACTTTGTTTTGTTATTAAATATGCTGTGACAGTAGCCATTACTGCCTCAAACACTTAAAATACTGGGTGTAAGAGCAATCGGGCTTGTAGTTCAGGATGAAGTAGGTCTCGAGTTGTGTATGTGTGTTTTGTAATTAACTGTTTAGCTGAATGGTTAAGTTACTCATCCCCCGCATGAGAGACCAGGGTTCAATCCCAACACAGAGAAACACTCATTAGGTGTCTGTCATTGCAGCTCTTTACAGTATGTGTATCATGGAAGCTAATTTATCATGAAGCCCAAGATTTAGCCTGAACAACATACACACTTAAAATAAAAATGGGCCTCATTCACCAATATCTCTTTTTTCTTACATCTGTTTTTGAAAAATGTCCTAACAAAGTCTACATCAGATTTATGACGTGTTCTTAAACAGAATTGTTCGCACCTTGGTGCTCTTGTGTGTAGCTTCCGTTCTAACCAAAGAACAAATCCCAAATAAGAAAACACTGGAGAATGTCAGAATCTTTTGTGAAAACTGCATGAGTTTCAAAGTAGACATTTCTTCTTATGAGTGGTTGGGGAATGAGGCACACTGTTCCTAACAGGTTCTTGGCTTGGATGTATGGTTCTAGCAAAAGTCTTTAATTAGTACAGAACCATCATATTATAACTTTGGAAAATTTCTTCACGATCACATATTTCATTTACAAGAACCATCCACTGAAATGTTTTAGTGAACTAAACATGGTTCTTTCATGGCATCACTGCAAATCTTTAGGAGCATATTTGACAACTCAGAACATACAAAATAACCTGACCCTGATGCTTATGTGTTACTTAGTACTAATGATTTGTAGTCTACAAATTTCAGCAATGACCTCCTAGCCATATATTTTTCCCCAAAGTAACTGCTAATAGACAAATAATCGCCACTTACTGCATCATGACCACAATATTGTGCACTTTTATGGACTGCATGGTGCAGAAGTCACTGAAAAACAAAGACAATTTTTAACACACGCAACATATCAGTACATATAGCTTAATAGACACAAGTCAGAACTAAAGAATACTTACAAGATGTAGCTCATCTCATTGGCTATGACAGTAGGAACAGAGAAGTCAACCTTAACAGGAACAGACAGAAATTCAGAACAGATATTAATTTTTAATGTTACTCACAGTATTTACACAACACTCAGATGTCTGATTAGAAAGTCACATGCTACAGGAAAAGGGAGCACTTTAGAAACTCAAAGGTCATTTGCTGAGGAAAAACACTACTATAACTATACAACTCTATACCACATTACTCCGTTTTTTGTGTTTGTTTAAAAGCCTCATAGCACAAAAGGAGATGTTGGGGGAAACACATTTCAATTTCTCAACATTGAAAAGTTCAGCTTATTCATAAACAGTCAATAAACATTTTTATTGTGTATTTATTATTAGAATTTACACAAGTGGATAGTGAAATAATTAACCAGTTTTGTTACTATAAACCTGGTGAGAAATTATGTCTGGAACATCCATATCTACTGTGCTTCTCCAGTGTACATTCTACTGTTATCACAGTTTCATGTTGACTAAGAGTTAATTGGGCTGATGACTTACTCTGAATAGGATCTGAAAAGCAGCATTCAAAGGCACTCCCTAATCTTATCTAGCATAGCATGAAAGCAGTGGCTGCATTCATGTCACATCCATAACCAGGAAGTGAAGACTTCGACATCTGATGCCAGAAAGACTTACAGTTACTCTTAACATACAATAACTCTTAAGATATTACAACATACTATAGGGACTTTTATGTTTCTTTTGTTTGTACACAATGAACAAAAAACAGCTTTTTGTTCCAAGATTAAAACTTTGCTAAAAACAAAAATTGCTTTCTAACATCCAGGTTATCTAGTACTGCTACAGAGATGCCCAAGCCATCGCGGCCATGTGTTACCATGCTATTTTCTGTGCCTGCTTAAACAGGTGAACAACAGGCTTTCTGGTTAGACACTTGCAACTTAACCTTGTTTTGGTGTGGTTTGGTAGTTGTTGGCATGATAGCTTTTGCTATAGGTCTAATACATTGTGTGTTTACATCTTATAAAATGCTTAAATTAATAAAAAGCATCAGCTAACCAGTGTGAAGTAGCCTAAAGATGTTTAGTGCAGCTATGTGTGTTTTTTGTTTTTAAAGACTGATGTAATAACAATGTAAAAATCTACCATTCACATTTGTGAGGGAAGCCATTCCATGTCTGGAAGGCTGCTGAACAGCATTATCACTTTAACAAGCACTACCACAGGTACCTCGCTGCTACAAAATGTTTTGAAGATGGACAACATACTGTGGCTGATTCAGGAGATGAGGTACCAGTATAGTTACTTTTGTGCATCTTAACGTCACTGATGGCATGTTTTTGGACATTTAAACTGTCCAACATCATCGACAATCATGACAGATGGAAACTACTTGATAACTACCATGTTTTTATTCCAAAATATGCCATTTCTTGTGCAAGATCATACTAGCCAACTGTAGCTAGGTGTGCATTAACAGCAGGCTGTAAGCAATGCTTAACTTTAATCTTTGAAAAGCAGGCTGTAACGCTCAAACCAGTAGTGTTTTTTTTTTCCATTTATGATTGTTTGCTGAAAAGCACACTAACGCAGACTAGAAAAGGTCAGTGATCGTATATTAAGATCACGTATGCATGGATATATGGAACAAAATCGATGTAAAACTTATGACAACTGAAATATGACATTAATACACCATCACTCATAACGTACCTGTTGCATATCCAGGGGCACAATAGTGGTCACGTTGCTCATGAGAGATTTTCCAATCACTGTCTTATAGAACTGCACCTGTGCTGTGATGTTTGCCACTTGTACTGGGTAGTAGTTGTTGTTAGTGATGTTGAGAGTGTTCTAAAGAAAGAAAAACAAACACAGATTCTTTAAATATAACTTACCATATCAAACAGTTTTAAATGCCTATTTGTCATGACTGAGTCAAATTAGGCTGGCTATAGCTACAGGGTGAAAGTTTCATGCAACTAGTTTCATGCAACATGTAGCCAATCCCACGCAACAATTTAACATCCACAAGGTATTATTTACATATTTGCAGCATTTTTATTATTGTTCTATTTTTATCATTTTTTGTATTTTTTTTAATCTTAACTTTTTTTTAAATAAGTACGTGTGAATTTTGTCTTTGTACGATTCTTTGTTAAATATTTGACTTTTTTTGTTTGACAGTATGTCTTGTTCCATGAAGTTAAAATACTTGCACCTGTTGTGAGTGAGTTTCAAAAGGGGTTGCAGGATGTGCAATTTATTCACATGTAGATTTCGAACAACTAAAGTTGCGTGGAAGTTTCACTGTGTAAACCCAGCCTTAAAGTTAATCCAGCGAACTGATTACTCCTCTGTGGGCCAGTGTTTCAGGTGAAGGTTTTAAAACAGCATCATTCACTAACTTACAGACATACAGATATAAGATCTTACTGTGATGTTGAGATAGACGATTCGATTATCTGTATCAAAAGTGACATATGAAGACTTCACGCCAATGTAAGAGACATCAATGGTACGGGGGAACAGGAAGAAGACAGCCAGGCCAGAAAGCAGGAGGCACATCAGGACTGACAAACATACATACAGCTTTCTGCAAGAATACAAGAGTCCTAATTAGAGTCAGATTGATCTTTCAGCAAGGTAACTGGAGTATAATATAGCTGAATTACACTGAAAAGAGATTATAAAGACTCAGCTGATGCATGTTTTTCCCATAACACTCTCAGGAATTGTGATGCAAAAATGTTATCATCAAATAATCAAATGGATTAAAACCTGTCACTATACAAATATATTGGCCGGGAATATGATTGGTGCACCAACCCATAAGTCAAAGTCCAGCCCATGGTCAGCATGGCTGTAAATGAGTTAACTTGTACAAAGGATGGCTACAGAAAGTTATATGACATGACTGAAGTAACTGCAGTCATAAATGAGCTACACACCTTAAAACAGAACAACAATTTTCATTAAGTTAAAAAACATTTTTGAAAAGCGCGTGCCACACATGAACAGACTTACGTTCGTCTTGGCCTCAGTCTTTGGTCACTGTATGGGATCAAAGCAACAAGCTGGTTTTCTTGTTCTAAGCAGAAAAAGAAAACATACCAGGAATTAGGTTTAAAATGCTTAGCTGCTCTCTTTGTCATTCACAAAATTATAGGCACCCTAATAGGTACCATGTAAGTATTATCTTGGTACTAAAAATATCATTGGCATTCTGTTCTGGCGTTCTGCAACTTAAAACAGCTGTTTTAAGTGTTACTTTGAGTTGGGAGCATAAATCAATTCATTCAATACATCAACTTAATGTGGTCTATCTACTACACAAGCTTCATGGTGGTCATTTAATAAACAACTGTGCAAGTGCACCTCGAGTTAACAGTAAACAAGAACTGACGGCAGATGAATTCTTACCTCTCGGTATTCTTCCTGTGCCTTGACAAGTGGGACAAGTGACACTGTCCCTGCCTGTAAATTCAACATATGGGAACTGTGAAATATCGTTCCTGTCCTTGTCCTTTTCTGGATCCGACTCAGGCTCCTTCGGTGTTAGATCCTCATGGCCCTCGGATTTTTGTTTTGGCAAGCAGAAAAGTGACTTCCCCATGGTTGGTTGATCCTATAAGAAAAAGGAAAAGCAATCAGCAAAATGTACCATTAATGTTTTTAGACCTACCCCTTGCTGAAATAACTAAGCCAGCTTTACAACATGAGTAATAAAACCACGTCAGGAAGCCACGTCAGGGAAAACAAGGCTTTGATTAATTAAAGCCACAGTTAGGTATTTATCATTTTTTGTTGACTTCAATTTAAGGGTATATATGTATTACTCTAGATCACGTCTTTTTGATGTCTCATCGTGTAATCTCCTAATTAATTACAACCATGCAATAAAAATCACCCTTTAGTGTTTTAAATCACATTTCACGTGTAAAGCCATAGTCTTAACGTGTAAATTTTACTCTCTGCTTGAAATACGTTAAAACAGGAAAGGCCTACATTTCGTGCAGATAAAAATCAGCACTGGTGTTACTGCTGTGTAGATGGAAAATTAAGGTGCGTTCCAATAAACGTACTTGTGTACTAATAAGAACGCTTAGCTAGTGCGCAAAGGCCGGGTCGCCACGAAATTATACGCACTAGCTAGGAGTTCTCGTTAGTACACAAGTTCATATATTAGGATGAAGCCCAACATCTCTATCTCTTATTCTGTTCACAGCGTGAGATATACAAAGTAGTTATTTCACTTTGGAACGAAAAATGCCTATCAAACTGCCCACACTATGTAAAGATTACGTTATTTGTAAGCAGACAAACAAAAAGGCTAACAAAAACATCGCGTGCTCGCGCTAAGAAAGCTGGGTAGCATAACGGAGGACAATACAGCCGGAGACGAGTCGGCCTGGGGGTGTAGGAGTTATGGCCGACTGTCAACAAGAACAGGGTGTACTTTTCCAAAGAAAAGACCACCTATCCACCTGCGATTCTCCTGTCAGGAGATTTACATACGTAGGTATACGTAGGTTAGTGGTTAGCGGCAGGTTAGGATCTGCGCGTTTATGCGACAACTAACCTGCGCGCTTAACGTTATTAAGTCGTCTTGACTAATAACCAAGCATTAAAATGTGACTGACAGAGCACGAAAGTCATGTACTACAGACCGTGTTAAATACATATAGTCTGAGAAACCAACACTAAACAATCCGACCTCATTTCTTACCTTTGCTGTAACTGCTATTCAGACTGTTGTCCGTATATTTACAGCAGCAAGACGCCCTCTCTTAAGCTCAGAACGCCACGCCCATGCCCTCTTCTTATTGGCTGCTGCGCGGCATGACCGGAGAACGTCACGTTGTTTCTGTGGCTTGCTTGCTTTACTGTTGTTTCCTAGGGGAGGTCAGTGGATCAGAGCAATACCACTGATTTTATTTTCGATCCGATAACAAGTAATGCCAGTGCTAATATGCCGATACCGATACAGATACCGATCCTTTAAAAGAACAACAACAAAGACATTCAGAGTGGTTTAAAGTGAAATGTTGCTCTAGAGAAATTACCTAAGTTAGAATTGTTCAAAGCGTTGATGATAGGAAACAGATGTTTTGATATAAGATGTTGAGCTGAAAAGGAATTTTAAATACATTCATGGTGGAGAGATACATAGTAAAACGTTTTTTTTTTTTTAGATTTTATTATTTTTTTTATCAACAATGCATATAAAAACTCAGAAGATGTAGGTGTAAAATGGCTCTATCTGTGTCTGTGACCCCTGCTTCCCATCACTGCCACTGTAAAGAATGACAGATTGTAGATTTCTCAATAATAAACCATTTCACGTTATATAAGTGAAAATGAGGCACAACCTAAAACTAATTACATTTTTAAATATTTGAACAAGATGTTTTTTACAAGCAACCTACACATCTCTGCTATACATTTCAAAAAGGTAGGCTCTTCCATCCATGATCAATTCAGCTGAAAGTGGTATGAGTGGGAATGAAAGGACTTCTGAGGTCAGTTGTAACAGGTCAAGGGGCTGGTTGGATCATTCACTAGAAAGGCTGATGCAAGCACAGCTAATTCAGTATAATTAGAAGATGTTTGAACAAATGAATTTCCAAACCCAAGTGCATAAAATATATGCATCAATGTAAATATGACCAGTGACAAAACACTGTCTTTTTATTTTTGACTACAAAATTAATTATCCAATATAAGCATATTAAAATGTTTTTAAATTATAATTTATTTACATGACATCAGTTTTTGATTAATCTGTAAATATTATATTAGATTTTATATATTAAATTAAATTGTTGTTTTTTATGTATATGGACCATTTTACTAATTAGATCAAACTGCAGTGCCACAACAAAAACTATAAGTCATCGTTTATAGAGTACTTTCTACTGGGAGGTGTCTTTCCCGAACCTAAGTACCAACTTGTGAAAATAATACTTACATTTTTTTTTCAATTTAGTTTTTAAAAAGATCTTTTGATTTCTTTTAAAGTGAAGTTAAAAAAGTGATTTATCACAAGTTTAATAAAAAAATAAATAAATAAAAAACTGCTGTCGCACCTTCTGATGGCACTACTGAGACACAGAGTTTTAGTCCATAGGTGGAGCCTTAGTTTAGCCACACCCCTGCATTTTAGAGCAGGAAGTGATTTTGCATCCATGTCTATCATGGTTACATAGTGAGCGTTCAGAGCCCATTTTTTTTTAAGTAAATGTGTCCCAAAGTTTGAAAATCAGGGTGTCATCTTAAGAATTGTCTCTAGTAAAACCATAGTTCCTGAAATTAAGTCATTCGTTTTAATAAAAAATTATGATTTTATATGTGTATGACTGTTCAAAGCTGTGTTTGCCAAACATATACTGACTAGCGTTTTTGAGCTCTGCTCAAAATCTGTTAAAATTGTCATTATCAAAACAGTCACAGAAACATTTGGTAAAGTGTCAGTAGTGTTATAACTATTCTAATTGATCATTGATCCTTATACAAATGTGGCCATTTCCGTTGTTTAGTGTTGTAAGTTGTTAACTATAGTTATGTATATGTGTTAGTCGTGTTGCTCTGTGTCAGGTGGTGTGGGTTTTGTGTGGGGGGGTTGGTGACCCTCAGGGTGAAACATGCGGCTAGTGGTGACTTTCCCATGGTTTCGGTGTTCTGCAGGTGTCCCTTCCTGCCGGGGTGTGTTTAAATTCACATTTTCTATTTGATGGAGAACGTGTTTATTTTACTGTGATTTGTAGTATGTTCTGGCTTCCTAGCATTATAATGAAGTGTAACGGACATAAATTGATCAAGTCTTTTTATTTTAATTTTAAAATGAACATTTAATGCTGTACCTCAGAGTAAAAACACATTTTGTGAAGAATGCAATAACAAGAAATGATTCAACATATAGCCTAAATGACACTGTGAAAATCATATGGCAATTGATGCCAGATTTCTCTCAGGGGCTTTCCTTCTTAAGGTAGGGGCACACCTTTTCCCAAAAACTCAAGTACAGATATGGTTTTTAACAGTACATGGACACAGCAGTGCTTTCTCTTCCCCCACGCTTACCTTTGTGAACAAGAAATCTGGCCTCATGATAAAAGACTACATTTCTATTATGTTATCTTAGTGAGTCTATCACTTCCCACCCGTTGTCGCACTGTTTCAGCAATCATTAACCTTTCCGCTTGTGTACAGGACCAAACCATTTTCACTCCTTTCGAGGACTGTTGGGCGTAGCCGGTTAATGCAGAAAGTGAAGGTTCCTAAATGTATGCCGAAAAGAGAAGACATGAACTAAATCAGCATAATATAGTTATTTTAAAAGAACTATTAGAATGATACTGCCTCGTAATTTAGAGATATATGTGAACTGTTTCCACTGTGAACCCCTATCAAAGCAGATAAGACCTTCCTGCTTCACCTGCTAAGTTTCAGGTTTCAGTCTCATACCTCCACAACACGATAGTGACAAAATGGAGGACTTACCTGTATGAGAGAACGACAAGTCGAGAGAACTTCGGATAAGTGTTTCCAAATGAGTGGTCGAGTTTTCCATTCGTGCTTTTGTTTTTAACGTTGAGTATTTTTCGTTGTTGAAGAGGACCTTATTTCAAAAAATGCGCCACTTTTTGATTCTAGCCATCTTCTTGATGGTAACAGGTACGGGCGTTTTATTTTCGGTTATCATGTTATCACATGTCTAGAATTCTTTTCTTAGGTTGTTTATGTCTGTGTAGAAATCTCTGGTTTAGGAGTTTCTTTGGTAAGACTGTGGCATGTAGGCAATGCCTAAGTTAGTATATGCTGTAACAGATTAGGCCTCATGTTGTGGTGTCAGGTGCCTGGTACTATTAACACCTTTTACTGGTATGATGACTTACTGTTGTGTGAAACTGGCCTTATACTGGCTTCACAGCAGAACAGACACACTTTGTTATTGATGTCTGATGCACTAATTAATATGCTGAAGCTCCACTGTTGGAAGTTAAATAGGGCTTTAACACATGACTAAAACTCGATTTGAATGTACTGTTTTTAAACACAAGCAGCAAATGAATCCCTAAAGGCTATACGGCTGGATTGTGGTAAAGTGGGGAGGTGCTTGGTACATGTCTCAACAGCTCAGTTTCTACAAAGCTTGAGTCATGTGCTGTGCAATCATATCAGTTTCGGCAACAATGCTTAAAAGTTGTATATCAGTTTGCAGTTTATTGAAACAACTTATTCTTGTTGCCAGAAGTAACACTATATTATTGTTACATCTTTAGAGGCTATGCTTCAGTGAGGCCGAAAGTATAAAGTTAGTTTTGTGGCAGAAGTTTCAAATAGAATATTAAAAAACCACAAGCAAAATTTAAGCATCAAAATTTCTAAAATATGTAGCAAATACAAATAATGAGTTAAATCAAACTTATTATTTAAAAAAAATTCCTCTCATTTTCTCTTATTCTGATATTAATGTTACTTGTTTTGCCATTCTTTGCTTTAACTTTTTCTATTTGTTGATTTTGATGACACATTTTTTTTTTTTGCTTGTGAAATCGCTCTTTTGCTTCTAAGTTTTGGCACTTTTTAAAAGGGGGCAGGTCTTATAAGAGCGTGTTCACCTGTACTGTCTAGTCTAGTCAAGTCAAAGTTTATTTATGTAGCACTTTTTACAACAGGTGTTGTCACAAAGCAGCTTTACAGACTGGGTCCGAGCCCCCATGAGCAAGCTGACAGTGGCATAGAAAAACTATGAGGAACAAACCTGGAGAGAAACCAAGACTCAAAAGAGGAACCCATCCTTCTCTGGTCGACACTGGATAGCAAACAATAGCAGCGGAGAATGTGGTTTGACCATCAGTATAAGATACAAAAAGGGGGAAAAGCAGGAAAAGAAAAAAAAAAAATCGGGAGGGTCAGTGGTGTGCAGGTGAGGTTTGCACAGCATTGTACAGCAGAAGTTCCATAAAACATTCTATCTATTGGTCAACTGATTTGGAGTGACAGATCTTCAGCACTATCTTGACGTAGCTACTCCCACTCTTGAGAGCTGTGATCTGCCGCAAACATGACGGAGCGCGTCATACTGAAGGTAGTCAGAGATGTTAGGGTGTAGTATTGTGAGAGCAGGTTGTGCTGGGATGAGTTTGTCATATTTATTATTGCAACACACGCTTATAGTCTTGTGTTGATCTGTGTAAAATATATATTTTGGAAACTGATGTATTTTAGGTAAACTTAGCTATTGAATGAAGCTGTACCATCTTTCAGGTCTGCAGCTGCTGTCACTAACTAGCCTAGCAGTGCCTGCTAAAGGGTGAACTAAGCAAGCTTGGCAGCTGTTCAAATCTTAACCCTGCTTCTGACAACCTACAGCTCCACACGGTTCAGGCTATTCCTTACTTTACATGTTCCGCTATGCTGGGGGCAGTTCGTGTTGAGTATCTATGTGTTCAGAAGACCTGTCACTCCAAATCAGTTGACCAATAGGGAGTGCAGGTGAATGCTATTTTCTAAGACCTGCCTCCTGTTAAAAAGGGCCAGAACTCAGAAGCAAAAATGTATTGGCAGAATCAGCAAACATGAAATTAAAGCAAAAACTGGCAAACTGAGTAATGAATGTATATCAGAATGAAAGAAAATTAATAGAAATCTTTTTGAAAAAATAGGTTTGATTTAACTCATATTATTCGCATTTGCAGCAAATTTTTGACATTTTGATACTCAATATTTTGTTTGTGGATTTTAAAATTTATTTGAATACTTTTGGTGCAAAATTTACTCGAAAGTCAGTTGAAGAGAAACCCCCACACAACATTCCTCACTGTATCCATTCAACAGCATATCTTGCCTTGAAAGAAAATGCTCTATTGTTCTTTTCAGTATACATATGTGTTCCTCTGAGGAGTGAAGTGACACAATTTTTTCTAGTTATTTCAGATTCTAAACTGATGTTTGGTGATGTATTTATTAATATTTTCTTGTTATTACATGGGCAACACTTAGTACACAGAAACTACTTAAACTATTCTACACCTCTTTACATCTTAGGCTAGCCTGTGGACAATAACAGAAATTACATAAATCCTGAAACTAGCTGCTGACCCTTGATAAACAGCAACAATAAGCCTGGGATTTATGTATTCTTTGATAGCCAATGTAGAAAGCAACAGAAGTACAGTATATCCCCTATTTGCAAAGAAATAATTGTGTAGCTGTAGAGGTGCTACACAGAATTGTTGTTAACTAAGTGAACAAAGGTTTTGGACATATTGTCCCTTTGGAATTATAAGGTTTTATATGCGTTCTAAATAATTTTGAGATATTGAGCTTCAGAGACTTTGCATTCCAAATAGCAAAACCGTAATGTGGAACATGTCTCTTTCATACATGAAAATGACAGATACCCTAATTGTATTCTAAATATACAATGTCAAAATCCTATCAAATTTGTAAATGAGTTTTTTGGAACAGACCAAAGGGAGATGGAACCTTCTAATCCCTTTCTGCTTGGAATGATAAGGTTTTATCTGGCAAAGCATGAAAAGAAGCAATGATTTTCAATAAACACAAACTCAGGAATCTCATTTGTTGACTTGTTTTTGTTGAACTTCGGGCATGCTTGGCATTTATTTTTCATGTATTGACATTTTTTTTTACAGTGTTGACTAAATCTGCCTCTTCTTTTGATACAGACTTCACTGTGGGAGTGAATGTCATTTGTCCGACGAAACGCTATGTGGTCATCCTATTTCAGCCTGTGACTCTTAGTTGTGATTACACCACCACAGCCACATCGCCTCCTATCATCACTTGGAAGTACAAGTCATTCTGCAGAGACCCAATTCAAGCTGCCTTGAACCCTGGAAGTGCAGAGAACACCTTGGCCCAGGCCAACCCCAACTATAACCCCAACATTGAGTGTGCGGACAGTGCGAGGACTGTACGCATAGTGGCTTCTAAACAGACTTCAGTCACACTAGGAACCGAATACCAGGGCCGCAAAATCAGCATCGTCAACAGTAAGTATCAGTGAGGGCTAAAATGAAGATACAGCCTCATTGAGGGAAAGCATGCTCATTCTAAAATGAAGTGACTTTTTCCTTCTGAGAGCAAGCACTAAATGCTGATTTCTTTTTTTAGCTGTATGAACTCTGGTTTGGGCAGCATTTGATTTAATGCTTGTTTTAGGCATCCAACAGTTTACAGTTAATAAAGTTACTAGGAACGCTACCTTTACCTTAGGTTTAAAGATTTCAAAATATTTCAAAATAATGCAACGGCAGCAGTGATTTGTTAGGGTTAGTAGCATTAGTGGTAAGATTGTGATAATAGTTACAGTTAAATCCTGCTTCAGCATTAGTCATTAGTTACATATCTGGACTGGATATTCAAAAAGAGCCTAAATACAAGCAGAATGATAATATGGTTTCACAGCAACATATTAATAAGTAAGTAAGTAGTAAGTAAAGAATATTTATAGAGCATATTTAAAAGTGTTTGCTGCCCAGCAGCTTGTTTCCATCAAAATGGGTTTTAGTGATAAAAATGCTGTGCATAATAAAGTAATTTCCTGAAAAACAATATTTCCAATGTAGGTTTTTGCAATATTGTAAGTACTGATTAAAATGTTCTACGAATGTTATAGCCATGTAATTGTAGCTGATGATTAATTGTCATATACATATTTGTGGTCAATGAGTTAATTAAAACACAAGTCTAAAGTGGCCAAATTGGCTGATAAGCCACGTTACGTGCTATTTATGTTTATCTAGTAACGAACACTGGTTTATACTGTCAAATCAATACTGTCCACACACTTGCACAAATAAATTAGAATTAGTGTAAAGAATACATGTTCTTCTGGAATAAAATATAAAAATCATTAATTCTGCCAGCATACCTGCTAAATACTTAAGAATGTAGCTTACTAAAAAAACAACAAACATTATTCAGTGATGTTTCAATAAAATTCTTATGTTTACAGTAATGTGCCTCAACACAATGCACCCAGTTCAGTTTTGCTGCATAATATGATGGTGAAATCTAAGGACCGTGGAATATGACTGCAGTCAGCTCAAATAATTGTGATCATGTCAAATACATACGATTTATGTAATAATTGTGACAGGCCTACAATATTCTGCTAACCTTAAATGGGAAAAAGTTACATCAACATTCATAAAATATTACGGTCAGTTTCTATTTCCATACACCACATCATGCTTTTTGAAGCATTAAAATGTTTTTAATTAAAAAAATCCATTGGATGGAAATGCAGCTACAGTCTCTATGATAGGCTTTTAAGAGAAATCATTGCTTTTCAATGGTTAACTTAAATACTTATGCCTAATGACTAATGGCTCCTCTTTTCCCTTTATCACCTATTGTATATTCATTAGTCAATACTCCATTCTTTATTCATATTGCTCTTGTTGTATTATTATTTTGCTATCTGGTGTTGATCAGAGGTGGATGGGTTCCATGGGTTCAAAGTTTCTTCCTCTTGCTCTGAGAGAATTCATCTTAGTGTCATCTTAGTGTTGCTCACTTGGGGCCTTGATCCGGATTTCTGTAAAGCTTCTTTGTGACAACAGCTGTTGTAGAAAGTGCTAAACAAAAAAAATTGAATTGATAATTCAATTAAATAAATATGAACAAATAAATCATAAAATAGAACCAAGACAAACATGACACAGCAGTGGCTGCCTTGCTTACCTAAAATATGATAACAAGTGACATAAAGTAAGTGTTCAAAATGCTAAAAAAGTATGTTTTGAGTCTTGTTTTAAAAATGCTCATAGAGTTTATGTCTTTGGCATGTTTTTTGCTGTATGACACAAATGTGATGTCTATCTGTGTCTCAGAAGCGGACCTCAACATTGCACAGACTGCATGGGGTGACAGCGGTGTGTACGTCTGCAATGTTGCTTCATCAGAGGACCTCTCAGGAAATGGCGAGGACTACACTGAGCTCATTGTGTTGGGTAAGATTTATGGATAGTGTTGTTCTCCGCAGGCATACTTAAAATCTAATCCCAGTCCATCATTCTTCTGTTATGAAATCATCCTTTTGCCACTGTACACTTCCGGTTTCCTTTGGTGAGTGGTGCAGTTATTTTAGAGTATTATAGAGGATGTGGGAGTGTGAAGTGCTGTTTTGCTTTGCGATGACTAACTGGCTGGTGTTGGTCCAACTTGAGCAGCCACATCTTGTTAGTAAATGAATTTGCAGACCAGATAATTTTAAGAGGAAAATCATTTTTTATGTTTGGGTAGATGCAGCAGAGCCTTTTTTAATAATTGTGGCTTTGTCATTCTTTCACAGAGAGAAAGTCAAATACTACAGACCTGCTGCCTGGCATTGACTTACTGATCATGGAAGGTACACAAAGTGCACCTCTGTAGTCCTAGAAGGCTACTTGAGCTATGGACTTTTATCTGCTCTGAGGTCTTCACAAGGGAAGCTACTGTCTGAATAGATAAAACTGAAGGTCATGGGGTGTTTCTCAAAAATCAGTTATGTCATATTTTCTGAACATGCAAGCACCAACACTGGCCAGTGGCTTTTAAAAATTGGACATGCAAAATCACCCTTTTAGTAGGAGCCCTGTGGTTGATGAAGATCTCAACATAATTCAGTTTCTTGCTTTTAAATTCTAAAACTTCAGTGAACAGCTCTACAGGTTGCTGTGGAAGGTGCTTCATATCAGGGATAGTGACAGTAGATGTTGTGGCATGACTGATATTTATGCAGTTTTTTGTGCGAATGGAGGGGTTGTTAAGATTTTTGTGGCAGCTCGGCTGGTGGTGTTTTAAAGCCAACCTGTCTGGCAGGTTTCTCTGTCTCTGTTTTTTTTCACTGATCTGCAGCACTGCATTGTGTTTGTGATGTGTTATGTTTGTTGCATTACTCATACATTTGGAGGCACTACAGTGACTTCCAATTAAGCAGTATGCACAACACATACACATGTTCTTTTGAGAATATTTATTTTAAGGGGAAGTCACCCAATTTTTCAGAATGTTCTTCTCTCAAATACATGTTTAAAAGAGAATAAGCTCTATCTGCTACCTGAACAAATGTGTATGCAGTTCTGAAAAATTGTTGACTCTTTTCATAAACCCTGTCGTGGCAGTATCTGATGAAGCAAGTTATTCATTACTTGTGAGTTTTAATTTGACCTTGTTCTTTATCTTATCCCCCATCTCTCTCAGACTGGTTGTTGGTAGTGTTGGTGGTGCTCGGCTTCCTGTTGCTGCTGCTCTTGATTAGCATCTGTTGGTGTCAGTGTTGTCCTCACACATGTTGCTGTTATGTGAGCTGTCCCTGCTGCCCAGATCGCTGCTGCTGCCCACGGGCACGTAAGTACACCCGTCCAGTCCTTTACCCTCTGTGCTACGTCTGTCCCTTCAACCAGTGGTTATTCAACTTCAGGCAAAATTGTACACTTAAAAATATACATTACTGCAGTTTCTTTTATTTGATTTATAAAGAGCTTAGATGATCTTACAAAGTTGTGATTAAACCAGCGCATAATAAGCGCATACTGATCCAAATGGCATTCTGAATATGCTTTCACAGAGCATCCAACAATAAAAGCAGCATTGGGCTTTTTTATATAGCACACAGAAAGCTCCAGTTTCACATGCTAATCAATTTTACTATGGTCAAGGTGAACGTGCACATGTCAACAGACATGCTTATCACTGTTTTCTTCCATTTAAAGTTTATGAAGCTGGTAAAGCAGTGAAAGCAGGAGTTCCCAGTCAGTATGCAGCAAGTCTCTTCGCCCCCAGCATGTATGGGCAGCCAGTTTATGCTGTGGGGGCACAGCCACCTCCCATCCCAATGCTGCCTATGCCACAGGGTGTGACTGGCATGCCCCCTAGTGGCTATGGCAGGGAGTTTGATGCAGCCAGTTCAGGTGAGCACCCATTTTATGGACAGTATTTTTCTCTTCTTTAAACATGTTCTATAAAAAATAACATAATACCCTAACCCTAACCCTAACCCTAGGGTTAGCAGATTTTTGTAAAAAATGCTCTCTAATCTTTCACTCTTATTGCTGTAGTTGGTCATGGATCTCAGGTACCACTGCTACATGACCATGAAGGAGGTGCAGGCCAGAGTAAGTGTAAAAGAGAATTCTTTCCTAGCACTTAAAGCTTGCCATGTGATCTACCAACAGGACACCAGATAAATCAAGTTTGAATGTCTTCACTGGCTGTGTCAATTATATTGCATATGTTTTTAACATTTTGCACAAACTTCATGTAAAATTTAGCTTGCGGGACAAACTGGTTGTGTTTCAGCTCGCAGCGGATATCGCATCCAGGCAAATGAAAATGGGGACCCTACTCGAGTGCTATACTACATGGAACGAGAATTGGCCAACCTGGACCCCACTCGCCCAGGAGACGCAGCAGGCAAATACAGTCGCCGTGAGTGATCTTGGGCTGGGGTCTGTCCTGTACTTTGTTTGGGCTATCATTTATGTCTTTTGTGAAATGATGGTGATGAATGCAAAAAGCCAATGTAGGAGATACTGTGTTAAGTTTCTTCTAGATTTACTTTTTGCCTTAAAAAAATTTGAAGAGGGTGGTTGTTTTTGTGATTCTATGGTGTAAAAACCCAATATTTTCTTTTTTGGTAACTTTACCTTTTTCTTGCTTCCATTCACTTTTTCCTTTTTCACTTAACCTGTCACTCAATCACTCACTTACTTACCTACTCGCTCAAACCTGTCGTTCCTCACTCACTCATCCCATCCTCTTTCATTCATTCTTGCTCTCGATTTCTCTGGCGTTCTCTTGCTCTCTTTATCTCCAGCAGTGGATAGCGTAAGTGAGATCAGCTCCCTGCATGATGGTGGTGACCCTCGTAATCGTGGTCGTGCCAGACCTCCACAGCTGACCACAGTGTATGATGATGAAAACATGAGCACCATCAGCAGTGTGTCCCAGAACATTCGCAGAGATGAGCCCAGAAGGCCTGGACCTGGACCTGGACCTGGACCTTTACCTGTGGGCAACCGCGGCCGTGCTCGTTCCATGGATAATCTTGATGATATTGGCCGCCGTTACAGAGACCATGATGATTATCCCCCTAGGGACAGAGGAGGCAGAAGAGGGTGAGTTAAGAATCAAGAGTTTCAGAGGTCAGACTCACCTATAAATGAGTTTTATGATTTTGTTTCAAATAAGTAATTGCTTACTCCACAAGTCATCTAAACTGATATTCACGTAGTATGAACTTTTAAGCTTTACTTTAGTACACTTCTAGTTCACTTGATTTAAATGGCATGGGAACATGACATTTCCTCACTTTAAAATCATGGGGGGGTATATGGCCAAAATATATCATGACATTTCAAGAAATTTTCACAGTACATGGTATGTCACAAAATGTATTTTTTCTCACTTCTCATATGTTGTAACAGAGTAGACTTGATTTCCCCTGTCTGTAGGATATATTCCATATATGGAAACTAAACTGTAATAAAAAAAAAAAAAACAGCCAGTTTTGAAATCATTATTTTTGTGAGGTCATGCAAACTAACACAATAACACACCTCCACCTATTCAGCCAACAGCAGTTTAGCCTTGCAAATTCTCATTTAAGTTATAAGGAGTGTTTCAGCCTGAGGTGTTTTTTAAATGAGGCACAGTAGAATGGAGGTCATTTGCATGTTGCTGTTGTTGGAAGAAAACCTCGTATCTCCAAAGTGATAGCTTAACAGGAGAAGGAAAAAACATACTTTTAATGTAAGTCAATGGAGCTGGTCATTTTGGGCTGTTTCTTTTGGTCCATTCTTCATAAAACTAACAACGTCAAGGCCAAGGGTCATTTTCAGATTATGTCAAAAACTGAAAAATGACAAAAATGGAGATACGAGGTTTTCTTCTGACAGCAGTGATATGTCAGTCTTAAATGCAAATGCAGTATGTGGGTGAAATTCTAGAAAAATGTAGAATATGGCCTCTTTAAAACGATATACATTTGCTCTCAGTTCACGTTGTTTTATGTGTCATGTCTCATTGCAGCTCGGATGATGAATGGAGCAGCAGCGCTCGTGGACACGATCGAGACTTTGAAGATCGACGCCGGCGTGACTATTCCCCAGATAATCATCGCTATGGCGACTCTAGGGGTACAGGTTTTCAGGGCCGTCGCAGCCGTAGCCGTGACGACCTGATGGACTTGGAGCGTGAGAGGGGTCGTGGAGGTCGAGATGCATATGATGACAGTTTCCTGCGGGAGGCCATGGAGAGGAAGAAGCTGGGCGAGCAGCAGCGGGCTCGGAGCCGCGAGCGCCTGGGCAGTGACAGTGACCGCTCTGACCGCTACAGGGGGGCTCAAGGGGGGCCACCCCCACTCCCCCTCACCCGGCCTGCAGGAAACCCCGATCGCCGTGGCAACAGCAGCTTCCCACCTCCTCCTCCCTACAATGAGGATACAGATAGCTTAGCATCGTCCAAGAAGAGTAACCTGCGCAAAGTAAGGAGTTAATGCCTGTGTTTACTTGTTGTTTTAGTTCATAAACTGCTTTCATTTTATTATTTTTACACCTCTCATAGTTCATACGCCATAGTTTTACACCATGACAGTCACATTTGAACCAAAAGAAACCATGGAAACTACAGTTGCTGGAATTTATAGGACAACATAATGCATTGCTTTGTGTTTGATGAAAAAATGTCTCTCTTTCACAGAACGGAGCTGTGAGTCGTGAGAGTTTGGTGGTGTGAAGCATAAGCTCAGTGAGCTCTCTCAGCAAGATGCTTATTTGATGCATTAATGCATTTTGTAAGTTTGTATCTTTCAGTGAATTTATGTAAGGTTTTATGAGCAAAATATCTGTCTATATTTTTATGTATACATTTAAAAAGCAATATTGTGCTAAAAACTGAGGTTTTGAAAACTCTTGAGTCCATCACACCTTTGTAATATTGAGTTTTTTTTAATAGTTTACAGATGACTGTGCAGTAATAATTGATTTAACAATTTTTAAGCTCAAAAACAAAGTGTAAAAAATGAACTGATTTTCAGATTTCTTGCTTTTTACAATAACTATTTAATATTACAAAAGTTTCCTTGCTACTCAATTTATTACCATAATGACAATGTCTAACCATACTTGTATATTGCTAATGTCTAATGATCCTTGCATACAAAAAGCTGTTGGCTGTCTGTTGTATGTTAATTTTAGATATGTCATGATGCCATAAAAATGTGCATTTCCCATATTGTCTGGTTTGCCACTGAATTAACCAGAGATTGTGTAAATTGTTTCATACACTTTCATGAATAGATTTTCAGTAATTTGCTATAGTTGTATATTTTTGTTCAGCTATAATGTCTGTTATTGGTTTACAAATCATCTTACAATAAATCTTTTCTACATGACACGAGTATGTGTTCATGTGTAGCCACTAGGTGGCATTAGTCTGTTTTTTAAGCAGCATCAAGGGAAGGAGAGCCACTTAGGATTTGATGTACAAACCTTTATTTTAAAACAAAGTAGTGATGATTTGTAAATGAAGGCAGGTTCCAGGTGTTGCTCCTTTCACATTCTTAAACAGCTTTAGAGACTAGCGCCAGTATTAATTAATCTACAAAGAGCCATAATTCTAAAAGTTTAGAGAAAGCAAGTGGTGTTACTGAAACCCCTCAGAATGACTCATGATATAATGAGAAGGATATTGTTAGAAGAGTTCATGGAAGTGCATAAAGATTTTTATTCTTATTTATTTATGTATTGTGCCTAAGCTGTTCATCTCAGGAATGGAAAAGAAAAACTTGGTTAAGCATTAAACATCCCAGTCATATTCATCTGATATAAAAATGTGTGTTTAAAGTGAACCAACCTGCTCTCAAATATAATCAAGGAGCAAGTTATGTGCACTGTTCTGAACTGGGAGTTAGTCAGCTACTTTGTTGTTTGAGTAGGTTTTAGGGTGATTTCCTTCATGTATAATTTCTCATATCAATAGTGAACCATAACAATGCTTCATCAGATGTATAGAAGTCTGCCAGCATTTTGTAGTTGAGTCTCTCTGTTGCTGGGGTTTTCTTTACTCGATTCACTTTAGTTTTTCAACCAAGGTATTTAAGATCATCAGTGAATCTACCAACATCACAAGTCAGACGGTAGCACAAGAAGGATTGCTAGCCTTTTTGGCTTGACTGTGTCAATATAAAGATATTATCAGAAGATCAGACATCTCTAGATGACTTCAGCTTCATAAGCCCCAGAACTTTTTTGCTTGCCAAGATAACTGCAGAAATGCACACATAGACCTTTCCTCCATCTGGTCTCTGAAAGCAGACTCCTGCTCTTGTCGCTACCCAGAGAGACGTTTCTTAGAGAGAAAAAATAGGAGGGATGGCAACAGCCTCATTAGACCTGATAACCACTTGGCCATCTTCAGCAGACAAGATTCCCTCAAGAAAAAAACCCTTGAGATTTTAATAGACCACTATTTGAGATTATATATAATGTTATCCAAACAAGCTAAAACAAGAAGGATGACACAGAGAGGTCAGTATCCTACTGAAGAAAACAGTTTAGGTTAAGCTAAACTAGTTTATGCTCGTCTGGTGCTGGTTTAGCTGGTTACCCAGTGTGGTTGTGCTGGTTGACATGCGTACCAGAGTCCAAAATGGTGCTGATTACCATTACAGCTTCAGTTGCTGCTGACCAACAACTAGAACTCAACACTGGCAGAGAAAAAGCTTATGTACTGTGGCCAACTACAGCTGGGAAATTAGGCACCACGACTTGTGGGAAAGCTGTGTTTTTAATAGCAGTGAATGCTACAGTATATAAAAGTAGAAGAAGTATGTGTACCTTGAGGATGTGTTCTGCACCACGTTGACATTTTGGAAACGTGTGGAGAAGGTACTGTTGCGTGTTTGGCCAGTTGTAGTCTTACTTTGAAAGGCCGTTTCTGCCTAATCCCAAAGATTGCCCATAGGGCTGAGGCCTGCTTCCTGCACAGATTACTGAAACAATGAAAACTCATTGTCATGGACTAACATGGTCAGCAAAGATATTCCGATACACCGGCACATGCACAGATAAGTAAGCGCCTCCTTGGTCAGCATGTATAATAATTCTCTTCTTCTGGTGGATTTATTGTCAAGATTACGAACCAACTGAAGAGGTGCGTGCATAATAAATGTGTTTTATATGGCCTGACGTTGCTCAAGGTCCCTTTCGCAAGAGGAGGCTCATCAGTCTCACCATGGCAATCAGGCTTGTGGTTCAGTTTGGGTTCCACAAGCAAAAGGTCACATCTGAGTTTTCTAAGATTGCGCAATGCATTATTTCACGCAATGTGCTTAATTCGTGTTCTGGTTGCCTTTTTTTCCCCGTTGAGCCCCTGCCCCCCCCCAAAAAAAATGTCTGCACAGGCCTGCAGATTCACCACACCACTGGGGCCATCACACTGCCAACACTGGCTTGGGAGAGTTCCATGGACTCATGTTGGACCAAATTTTAATCCTCTAATTATGACGCAAAAGGTAACTTTTTTGTACTCCTCAACAGTCCTGTGTTGATGCTCCTCTGCCTATTAGAGACATGCTTTCTTGTTCTTGTTGTAGCCCAATTAATGGAATGTCTGATAAGTGGTGTTTCAGAGATAACATTCTGCCCACCAGTTGAAATTGGATGTGATTTGTGTGGCTGTGGCCTTTCTCGCCTCTCTCTTATGAGAAAGCTGTTTTCATCCACAGGATCTGTAGCTGTGCTTTTATTTTTCACACCATTTTTGGTCATTTCTTGGAACGGTACCTAATAGGCTGCCAACTTCATATGAATGCCAATAGTTCTTCATCATTTATATGCAGTGAACAATAGTATTTCTATACAGTATAATAGTGATTATATACAGTGAATAAAAGTGGTCCAATTACATGAAAATGATTGTACACAGTAGTAAACATGATCAAAAACTTAACCAGTCACGGAATAAGATTACGATTACTGTTACCATACACTTCCAGATCTTAATGATCAGAGCACCACATACTGCACATGTCAACCTAAAGTATATGTATGGTGCTGATAAATTGAGCTGAATATGTGAGAGAGTGAGTGTGTTGGGGGGGTTTGGAAAACAGAGGGATGAAGAGGGAGGGCTTGGGAGCACAGATGCCATAGGGAAAGAGACTGCCATCATACTGGCTTTGCTGGCATTTTGGTTTGGCTGTTTACGGAGTGAAGATCATCCGCTAAGGTAAGCCTTCTCTTCCTCTATCATCCACTCATTCATGATTTCATGCTTAAAATATGATGCCATTGGTCTAAACAAATGAAAGTTGATTCATAGTTCTGCAATTATATTGTTTGTTTGAGAATGATTAGCTGCACATGATGTGTGACAAAGTGTGTCATTTTGTTTTCAAATGGACACGGACAGTAACTGTGCAATATGGGGTAGTTCACACGTGAATAGTATACAGATGTCCGTAAAAGGCACCTAATGCCAAAAGATGCTCTTACTACATTTTGGAGTGTGCTAGCATCCAAATGAGATGATTTGTGGGTTATTTTTAGTAAGTTAAATGATCATTTCTGAATTTGAAAGACTGGTAGATAAGAATAAAAATGAGTAGATTTATTATCTTTTGAAAACTTAGACTTTGACTGTTCAAATACATTAATACTCCATGCTTGATGTGAAGCATACAGACATTCATTTCATGAGTGCTTATGTGTTGTGTGAGGTTCTGAAGTGTTAATGATGTAATGATATTCTGTAGTACACAAGTGGGTGGTGCTACACACGCACATCCTCACAGTGGTTGCTTGGCCAGATAGGAAACAGATTGCAGACTGATTTTCAATAGCCTCCAGAGTGAAAAGAGCTGGCCATGCAATAGAGCATGTAGCATCTTGCTTTGAACAACACTAAGATCCGTGTTTGATCGTAAAGGAAGTCTTGCTATTTCTATTAACGGTTGACTCAGAGAGTGGATCGTTGTTGTCACTGTTGTATTTTGTAGATTCTCACTTGTTGATGTTGTGATGTTTAATAGAAAATGAAAAAAAGTGGTTTAGTGGTTACTGTCACAGTTGAAGGACCAAAATATATAGATTATTAGTGACTATGCCTTGGTGTCTGTGTGTAAATATTTGCTTATTTGTCCATGTGCTTTGTTAAAGCTCTTAAAGAACCTGTGTGATGGAAACCCAAACTTGCCTCACTTTGTGATGTTGTATATAAGTTTCTGTATGTATGTTCTAACCCCCAGGCCAAGTCTGTACATGGAAACTAGGCTATGAAAACAGCCTAGAGCAGTTTAGCTCCGATCATTCATGTTGAAGTTATAAGTACACTGTAAAAATGGCTGATCAGATCAACCTGAAAAAGCATTTGTACATGTAGTAACAAGTAGTTGATCTAGTTTTATTCAACTCAAGAAATTACTTTGATTAATAGAATCATTTGTTAAAAGTATTTATTTAGGTTGAATAAAACTAATTAGTTTACCTGTTACCACATGAAATATTTTTTTAGGTTGAACTGATGAGCCAATTTTTACAGTGTAGTGTTTCAGCTCAGACTGCTTTTTGAATGAAGTACAGTATAGGGCAGCCAATCAGAACTGAGGTCATTTACATACATCAGTCTTAAAGGCACAGCAATGAAAACAGCATTTAATTCTAGGGGATAAAGAAAAAATGGTCATGTGAAGATGAATTATGTCTGTTTTTGGTATGTAAACACACACAAACATCATAATTATACCTTGGGAGAAAAAAAGTAAAAGAGAAGGAACACTATGGTATACAATCTCCCACATCTGTAGCATGAGGTCAGATAAAACAGATAATGCACACTGACGTAAGCTTTTACGTGTGGGCTGCAGCCTTAATGCTCATTACTAAATGGCACTCTTGTAAACTAATAAATAAAGCATTTTTAGTTTTTAGGTAGAATAGTGCCTTGGCTTTTTTCCTCTGTTTATTACAGTATTCCCTAGCAAAGAGCATCTCCAGTATTTTGTTGGACCTTCTGACCACCTCAGATGTTTTGTTTGACCACAGACAATAATTTTGACATGACTACCCGTTTTGAGAAAAGAACAGAAAACCTGTCCAACAAAACAAACCTATAAGATAGGCCGATAGGTTAAATAGGTTTCCTACTGATTTTATTTTATTTATTTTTTTAGTGGTAATCAACAGTGAGTTACAGGCATTGGAGAATGAGGTTAAGTTGTGGGTACTGGGGTGTGTCTTTAAACTTTGCAGAATTGCTGTAAAATATACCTTGGATGTTAATACTGTGGAAATTTAAGTGATTACGTTGTACTAAAGCGCTAACAGGCACTCTGCTGTTTGGTTATCTCAGGCCTCTATAGCTGCTCCTAGTTCAGATCCTTCACACGCCATCATAAA